ACCCTAACCCTAACCCTAACCCTAACCCTAACCCTAACCCTAACCCTAACCCTAACCCTAACCCTAACCCTAACCCTAACCCTAACCCTAACCCTAACCCTAACCCTAACCCTAACCCTAACCCTAACCCTAACCCTAACCCTAACCCTAAGACTCCTTGATCCTTCCCTAACCACCATCGTTAAGTATCGACGACTACGGTTGGACCCAACGCGTAACACCTAGCCCATTAAAGCTGACTAAGCAACTGTGGTCATCTATTATTCAGCTAAAACTAGGTCATGGGTATTTTAGGTCATACCTAGTCAGGCTACCTGCATATAATAGTGGAACATGCAATCTATGCCAAACCAATCAGGAGCAGACCCCATATCATCTACTATTCCATTGCCCAGCCTATAGAGATGTCAGATATAGAGCATTCTCTAGGGTAGATAGAAAAGATTATAATCTTTTCTATCTCTTTTCTAAGGACGGCCAAGAAAGTTTAGTTGAATTCCTAAAGGAGACAAAAATAGCCACTAGGAAGTGGCACATAGGAGCTAATGATTAAGCAAGAACCCTACTACCTAGTCTAACCCATAGAACCAGGCTTACTAGGCATAGATTATCTAATCATGCTTATTAAGCCACCTCTCCTATCCTGACTCCCCTTTGTGTTTTTTTTTTCTGTTCTTTCTCTCATTTCTTTGTCTTTGTTAAATCCACCTATACCTACTATTCCTTAACATTTGATTTCTTTACATTATACTACAGCCTGTCTCTCATTCCCTATTTCTGTCCCTCATAGAAGGTTCCCACTGTTGACTGGTCTATAGCATAACCCACCTGTATATAGATACTAGCTACTAAGCCCTACTGCCTAGGTGGTAGGCAGAGCGTGCATAGTCTCTGACTGAAAAACGCTCTCTAAAATGGAAGAATAATAATAATAATAATCATCATCAAACGACCCTACCTAACCTGTAGAAGTCGACTGCACCCATGCCAAGCCTGGCACTAAACTACATCAGGCACAACCCTAAGTCGACTCCACTGGAGTTGACATACCCCCGTGGGTTAGGGCCTTTTATGACATGAGGAACTTGTCTCTTCTCTCAGCATCAATTGATCTATCAGGTGCATTAAATTGGTGAGGTTAAGGTGTATCGATTAAGTCGCCAAAGCTAGCTTTAATAGAATCTCGAGGAGCGGTAGAGCAGGTTCTAGTTTCCAGAGTATTAATATTCGGACATAGGGAGAATTTCAGCTGACGGAGACCACTTTCTCTTAGCCCTCTGCGTAACTGAACTTTTCTTAACCACCATGGTTATGAACTTTGTCACCGTCATCAGCATGTATTCGAATAAGCAGTAAGGTTATGAAGTAGGAACTTGAATTAAGACTGACACCCCAAACGCTAGCCCTGCAGCAACAAGAGCTGTGTCTTTCCCGCAGAGTCATTTACGAACAGGATTTCAACAATATTTGGCCGCAAAATACTACCAAGTCGTCCAGGGTGTGGTGTATTCTCGATATTGTTGTTAGAATGATTTAAATCTATATGTATCTTTGAGGGTACATTCTATCTAACGTGCACCATCCGTGCACAGAGGACACGCTAAAGAGTGAAAAGGAGAATTCCAGCGCCGCGTGCACTTTCCGAACAGATGTATTGAATATCCGCGAATCTAGTACTCGTACGTCTGTCTCACTTTGCAATATATATAAGAGAACTCTGATTCTTGCAATCTGTCTATGTAGCTAATGGGCCTGTATATACTGGCAATCTTAGTGGCCGAGAGAGTGACTAAGCAACAACAAAAGGAACAAGAAAGAATAAGTGAAAGTGTCCTGTATTATGTATCCTCCCGCATTGGAGCGGTTCAATGAGTGCTGAAAATCGCGCTGCGAGTCGCAATATAAGACGTTGACATCCTCGCGCTCTGCTTTGCCTGTTCAAAATCGATTTCGACGGTGTGATATCCCTGAGTGACGGTGGTAATGTGTGGCTAGCCGACAAGATGACTTTGTGGAGAGCCATTGTCTAGTAATATGACTACCGGCGCCCAAAACCTAGATAGCAGTCGGGACGGATCAGGATCTCGCGATAGCCACACCTGTACAAACTCGCCACGCCCTCCAAAATGTCTCTAACATCCACCATTTCTGTCATGCCATCAAATGCTGGTGTTGGTGGCTCTCCCCGTAGTTTCTCGATGAACCTAATTTGGACCCATTTCCCTGTTCTCGTGAACTCGCTCAGATACTTTTCTTCCCCATTACCAAGGCTAAACTTAACATCAAGGGCACGTTTTCCAGCAACAGCCTCTGGAAGAGGCTCCCATCCGGACGGGATGATCATGTCAAGGGGCTTTGGGTAGGAGACTCCGAGGCAACTGATTTGTTCAGCAAGGGCACGATTGGCTTCTGGCACTTGCAGCATTTTGTTCATCGCTTTTCGAATTGCCCATCTGGTCGTGTAGAAACAAAGAACAAAAGAGACTGAGCAGTGGTGTTCTCCACTACGTCGAGAGCGATTGGCCGCCGTTCAGCCTCGTAGGTATCCAATAACGAGTCTGGACCGCAGCCGCGAATGACCGCTGCAAGTTTCCATCCAAGATTGAATGCTTCCTGGAGGCCTAGATTGAGCCCCTGGCCACCGGCTGGGAGGTGCTGATGAGCCGCGTCTCCGACCAGAAAAATGCGACCATGTTTGCGGTATACCTCGGCACAGCGAGCCTCATTATGGAAGCGACGGAGCATGCAAGGATTCGAAAGTTTGTAGTCGATGCCAGCAACTTCCTTCAATGCTTGGTTGAAATCTTCCAATGTGACGGGTGTCGATTCCGATACGTGGGCACGAGAAGGCGTGAAGACACCAAGACGAGCTCGACCACTAGGTATCTTCGGCTGCGCACCGATAATGAGGCCGGAGCTATTGTGAACAATATAGGGATTTGGCATGGGTACTCCCAATGTTGCCTCGCCAGTCATGGCTGTATGGGTAGCTGGACTACCGGGAAAGGCGATACCTGCAGATTTCCGGACGGTGCTGCGCACCCCATCTGCGCCAACAACAAACTTGCCTCTTGCTTTGAAAGGGGTTCCGCCGGTGCTGCCATCTGAGCTCACTGACACTCCATGTACCATCGCAGACTCAGGAAACGGCTCCACAGATTCGATGCGAATTCCGGTGACGACAACGACGCCTAGCTCCTCGGCATACTGCAATAGAATCTCTTCGGTTCTGTACTGCGGAACCAAAAGAACATAGTTCTGCTTCGTTTCGTCCCCGAATACGCTATAGTCCAAGCGGGTGTCGAGAACACCGTAGTGCCACCAGTCACTCTTCACGCCCTCCTGGATGAACTTGTCAAGAAGGCCGCGGAAGGCAAAGATTTCCAGTGTCCGACTATGCATAACAAAAGCACGGGTCTCCGCTACCCCCTCTGCATGAGGGGCCGAGGTACGACGCTCAACAACCAAGACCGACAGCCCTGCGAGACGAAGCTCGCATGCTAAAAAGAGTCCCACGGGCCCGCGGCCGACAACAACAACGTCGAAAGATTGGTTTTCCATTTTTCAGGATTGCAAAATGCGAATTGAATTGTAATTCTTGGTTTCAAGGTATTGTGGGTGTGAATGGGAATGAAGTCTGCAGGTAACAGTTTCTTCGACTGCAGTACTTCTAGATCATGATTTATATGGTCTCTCCAACCTGCTACAGCCAACGTCTTATTGCCGAGCTTGACCGCTGGTCGTCACCACCAAGCTTATCTCCGAGATATGTACGGAGTACAGAGTACTCCTTCCACTAGTCCACCGGTCGATCAAAATCATCGTCCTGAACATGAATCCCGCTCCGCCACCATCCGAAGTTCTGTGTGCACCATGCGATGGCGTCTCCCTGTACGGAGTACATTGAACGAAAGATCAGCGCTAGCTCCAGGCTTTTAAAAAAAAGAAAGAAAAAACAACGTCTAGGTCTAGTCCGCTCGCGGCAGACATAGGCCCGCTGGAGTAAGACAAACCTCTTTTAGAAGACGCTATTGGATATTTGGAGATCACTATAATCGGAAAGACGGAAACCTTTCATCTGAAAAAGTGACTCGGCTCGGTAAGTCAAAGCTCGCCGAGAGACACACGCCACTCCGAGATTTGGAAAGCTAGACATGTAACCATCAAATCAGATAACTTAAGTCAATGAGCTACATATACGGAATAGCTTGCCGCCTTATGTCCGAGAGCTATGGGGACTCTCCTTCGTAGCCGAGATCCCCGCGCCTTTGATTCCGAGCAACCAACAGAGCCCAGGGGTTTCTGGTATGTTCCGATTTTATTCATACTGCACGAACCACAGCAGCATCAAAGTCGCCGACCTTGTCGTCGGCGCGGATGGTGCGTGGTCTAAAGTACGCCCTCTACTGACGAATGCCTTACCCATTACACCGGGATGACTATGGTCGATTGCTGTATTAATGACCTGGATGAGCAGTTTCCTCGGTCGAGGCACGCTCTTTGCCTTCAGGGATTAGCATGATTGCCTGAAGGATCTTGTGCGCCATGCAGACACACCAACTTTTCCTCGGCCCCTGTACCAATTGCCACTGGGTTTAAGATGGGAGACACGGAAGGGTGTGACATTGGTGGGAGATGCAACTCACTTGGTGTCGCCTTTTGCTGGAGTCAATTCGGCCGTGTTAGATGCGCAGGAACTGGCCAATTCCATTAAATACAATCCAAAGAATCTCGAAGCAGCGATTCGCACGTATGAACCTCACATTTATGACCACGCGGATGCTGCGAATAGAATGGCCTGGAAAAACATGGAATTGGCTCTCTGGAGCTCGTCGACGTCAATTTTGATCGTACTCCCTAGGCTACTCTGTGGACCCCTCAACAATATGGTATTTAGCACCTACAAAAATTGACTATCGCATGAAGCAGAATTAGCTTATCCAATTCTCGCCTCTCAATTTTCTTTGGTTGTTGCTCCTTCACACATTGATGTCCGGAACTTCATTGAAAAATGAATGACTGCAGAATTTATAGGTGATTCACTGGTTCGGACATTATTTAATTGATGGCAACAGTCCACTTTAAACCATTATTTATCGTATACAAAACTACTCATGTCTCCCTAACGAGCTCGCAGCAATGAGAATGTGTGTAGACGCCATCCTCAATCTGAGAACCTCGTAGACCCCCCTAACAGGCCGCGCAAGTTTTGTCCCTTTCTTTGAGCAAGGCAGAGATCGGGGGCAATCCTTTTGCAGTTGAAAGGGTTGAATCCACTGTATCATAGCTTTTTCTTGAGTAAAATTGAGACTCACAGAAGGTTCCTGGATTCGTCTGGGGTCGGAGTTCTCTTGGTGGCACCGACTGTGTAAAGGTGACTTGGGAACGTCAAAAAAAAGCGGGCGCAGGGATAATTGATGGAACCTCTTTTGATTAGTTTTTTTATTTCCAATTTTACACTACATGGTAGATTCATAGAAAAAAAAATTACACGTGTTACTGTAGTGAAATTTAATGGGATACAGGAGAGATGAGCTCAAGATGGGCCGTCCCAAAAGAGGGTGAATCCCAAAGGCGGGTGGGACCCTTGTACTGAAAGATGAACAATTGATAACATGGGAGCAAGATATTGCTGCAGCAACAAGACAAGATTACTCACCTGTACTTGTTCTTTGAGGCCTCAAGCAATCAAAAAAAAAAAAGGGGCCGGGGGGAAGGGGAGAGAAGAAACAAAAAGGACAAAGGATTCACTAGAACTTCTTGAAAATATTGCATCCAACAACAGTAACGCATATGTAGCACCTCCAAAACAAATTGATGCCAGCAAAGGTCTTAAGGCCAGTGAAGCTGCCACCATCTCTCCCTATAATGGCACCACCAATAGGGCCTGTGGTCAAAGCGCCAACAGACATGATGGCAAAAAGAAGGCCTTGATGTAAGCCGATCTTCTTCATGGGAGAGATTTGAGCTGCGAGTGCTGGGCCCATTGAGATGAAAGCACCAGAGTTAAACCAAAGAGGGCAGCAAAATGATGATAGTAGAATTGCTAGACGCTAGGATCCACAGGGTAAAGACAATGATACTAGTAAAATAAGAGACAATGATAAAGATATTGTATCGACCTAGCTTGTCAGAGAGCATGCCAGGGATTATTTGCCCGAATAAACTATTAGAAAAGGCGTGTATAAGTAACCATTCAGTTTTTGTGAGTCCACCAGAGCGACAAAATTGGACCCAGGGATAAACTACAGACCTGGCTGCATTCAAGATAGGAGCCAGGTAGTTGGCTAGCCTCGGCGACATTCCCGCGTTGATGGCCTCAATGATAATATAGTTGATTGGTATGAATAAGCCGAATATAAAGAGGAAGTCTGCTAGAGCTGTAAGTGCGAAGTGCTTTTCTGAAAAAGCGCTGACAAAATCCCAGATAGAGATGCTGGCTTGTGCTGTAGGTGGGAGATGGGATTTCACCGTCAGGTTATAATTAAAAGTAATACTAGGATCATAAAGGCAGCAATTCCCATAGCCCATCCAAAACCAACCTCAGGGATGAGGTGATTGACCGTAATAGGGAAAATGACGCCGCTGGTACTTGACCCGCGTATTGTAACACCATTGGTAAGCCCACGTTTTTTTCTTGAACCATGTACCTACAGCACTCGAGCCTTTAAAAGCATATAGTAGTCAGCAGAGATCTATTTCTTCTATGGTTGTCCCATTTGTACGATGCCTATAGAGGAAACATACATGGTGCGAAGATGGCACTTGCTCCGATCGCACTGCAAACTCCTTGAGAGAGAAGAAACTAATAGTATTTTTTTTTTTTGGAAATTGATGCCATCATAAGACCAAAGACGTGCGCTAGCATCCCGAAAAGCAAGAGATATCGTGGCCCAGTGCTGTCATATATTCTTCCAACGAAGGGTCCCTGATCCAGATATTAAGTATGTGCCTCCACTGGCGCTTATGTCGATCGGCATGAATAGAGACACGAACTGTAACTAAGACGAAAAATATCTCGAGCGATGTGATCCAGGATATGGTGCTGGCCGAATACTGCTTCAACTGGTTGGCCTCGTAATACGCTTGGAAAACTCCAATGCCTTTGGCAGGAATATATCGATCGTCAGTTGTAATTTGGAACAGACACAGATAATAACCAACAAGACTCACTGTTAATCCACCCGTAACAACAAAATGAACAACACCATGCACCCAGTACCACTGTCCAAGCCTGAAAACCACCATCAGGAGAGTCGGTATTGTCGGCTTTGATATCCTCCATGAAATTTTCTGGATCTTCATAAACCAGCTCGCTTCTAACACCAATGGCAGAAGGCACGACGTGAATATTATCCCTTAAATCTCTGCTGAAAGGTTCTGTTGGGTAGTTTCCGAGGATGGGCAACGAAGCTCGCGGCTTTGATTCAGACGTCATCACAGATATCTTCGAATACAGTACAATGTCTCTACAAATAGAGAATGAATTCAGATATATCTGATCATATCATGCACGCGTTATAGGAGTTTTAGATGGGTACCATTGCTGGTACCTGGCCTCGGACATAACGTCGGACATCGGATCGGGCAGTGTTCAGATTCAATACGGACGACGTGGACGGGATGAAAGTCGAGATCACTATATTGCAGTAAACTGTTTCCCTTGTCCACACGACTTGAACTTTTCAACTACTACCTCGTTGTCTTCGAATTCGGCAAGATTGTGCAAGTTGGTTGACCAGGGCCGAGCTGGTTGGATCAGATAAGATCTTATCAATCAGATAACTTGATCTTCGGGGATTAACACGTCTCGATTGTCCGATGTCCGATGACCATATCGGCGATAATACGACCGAGCACCATGCATTTTGACACCAAGATCCGTGACAATTTATCACCCTACGAAAAAGATTTATCGGAGCTCAGCACCAGGGATTGCTGGCATGGTGTGCTGCACAGTGTAGCATCCTTCCCACTTCTACTTGTGTCATCTCCATTTGTATTCTTGGCATAAACAGCGAGCAATCGATAAATATCACTACCTTCCCTGGGTACATGGATGGGCGAACTCATAGTGTTTGTCATGGTCCCTCCTACCCTGCGAGATAAGTCGGGGACGCTCATATCGAAATATCTACTAGAGAGTCTCATAGTAGCACTCACCAAAGAGTTCCATTCCAAATCATTAAACGGTCAACATTGCTGCCTGGAGGTACCTATTGCAATTATTAAAGAATTATCTTACAGCAGTGCCTGTTTCGCTGCATCACCACTGCGCGACCAGTTGAGAAAAGTGTAGCCCAGGCCCAGCTGCAGGACTTGCGGTCATGCTATTTCCAGGGGTAAGACCTTTGTAGTTATACCTGCAACGTATATGTGTTTTCTACTGGACTGCGTAAAAGGGGCCCAAGAAACGGGGGCGTGTATTGTGAGCTTTTTCGTGTCGGTCTTATTAAAACGGGATTAGTCTCCGTGAGATCCAACGAAATAAAAAAAAACAACAATATCGCTGTCTCGGAGCTCATTTCGATGTATAGGCCCTCAAACGGAGATACTTGAGCTCGGCCGAATAGTGGGTCAACGTTCGGCACTCTTTATATGCTCAGCATTCTAATGAAGTCGTCCACCTCTCTCAGACCATCCTTGACTGCACTATTTTCAGAGACATTCCATTTGAATCCCGGCACCATGTTGAGCGGAATCATCATCGTCCTCAAATTGATCAAAGTAATTCTTGGTGTCGTCTACGATACCGTGCACTTCTACTATCCATCAGTACAGCTACAAGCAAGTGGACTCGCCGAAGAACATCGTGATCATTGGCGCCTCTTTTGCCGGCTATCATGCCGCGAAGCTCCTTACGAACTCCCTTCCCACTGGCTACCGAGTTGTGGTTGTGGAAAAAAGCTCCCACTTCCAGTTCACATGGGTATTTCCGAGATTCTCTGTTGTCAACGGTCATGAGCACAAAGCGTTCATACCGTATGGACCATATCTCAGTGGAGCTCCAAAAGGCAGCTGGCTCATGATGCAAGATACGGTCCTCGAGGTCGTCCAAAATGCGATCTTCCTGCAAAGTGGCGCAAAGCTGGACTACGAGTATCTGGTTATCGCCACAGGCTCTCATGCAGGCGCTCCCTCGAGACTCAATGTTAATCAGAAGGAGGATGGGATCAAAGTGCTACGAGGCTTGCAAAATCGCATCCGAGATGCAAATAATTTGATTGTCGTCGGCGGAGGGCCTGCCGGGGTCGAGCTTTCCTCGGACGCAAAGAGTCTCTACCCGGAGAAAAATGTGACTTTGATCCATTCTCGAAAGACACTACTCAACAAGTTTGGGACTAAGCTTCATGACACTGCTTTGGCAGCATTGGAAGGTCTTGGTGTGCGCGTGGTTCTGGGTGAGCGTATAGGACCCCATGAAGAAGGAGACATGCACGTCGTGTTGGGCTCTGGAGAAAGTATTCCTTGCGATCTATTGGTATGTACACTATCGATCCGTCGATGGCCAAGATTGAGCTAAAAATCCAAAGATTAGATGTACAGGCCAGAAAGCTGCGTCTGAAATCATCGCCACCCTGTGTCCTGACTCGCTCTTGCCAGTGGGTGGATTCCTTAAGGTGAAAGGCACACTACAGATTGCAGACGAAAGATTTGGAAACATTTTCGCTGTCGGTGATGTTATAGATTCTCCTGGACCTAAGAACGGCCGCTCCGCTATGTAACAAGCCGCGATTGTTAGTGAAAACATCCTCCGCGCAATTCAAGGTAGACCGCTGGTCACTTATAATACGAATCTGTTGATGGAAGGTGGAATAGAGTTGACTCTCGGCATGGTAAGTTATTGATCAAATCTCACCACACATTGCTTGGATTAACTCTTGCAGGATAAGAATGTACTCTACATCACAGATGGGGCCAGGGATATTCTTCTGCACTCGAAATCGAAGGATGTAGCTTTAAAGACCAAGTCCTGTTGGAAACATATGGGCGCAGAGCCATTTCTGGATGATTCTTCGAAGGAAACCTGAAAACTAAGCTTCACTATATCGTTCATTATGCGTTGGTCGAGGTAAAGGGCGTCCATTAGCTGCACAGGAAAATAGAGAACCAGACGGCAGCATCTTTTTCATGAGGAGACCATAACCTTTAGAGGAGGTGGGCGAAGAGAGGAGTTGGCCCTGAAAGCTAGGAAACCCGATCAATGTCTTGTACGAAAAGGCCGTCCCATCCGCTGCCCCCGTAGTGTACATCCCCCGCCAGCATCTAGCGAGAATAAAATGGATTAGTTTTTGTCCATCGATTAATAACATGCTAGCCACATACAGGATCCAGGAAACACTCAGCGGTTTCCTGTGCGCCAGACGTAACGTTCGTATCATCGACGAGGCTTGAGTTCTCAAACTCGGCAGTCTCCTGCAAAATTGCAATGAATAAGTATAATCTCGGTAAAAAAAAAATCACAGGGATTAGGTTGATATAATTCACATTTCTAGCAAGACCTCGTCCAATTGTTGGTCCAGCTTCATTATTGCGCAGTAGAATGCTCTTGCAAGTGTTGATACTGGTGCGGAGCGTCTCTGATACCGCGTCCAGGGCGTTGTCCTTCGAATACCGCGCCTTGACTGAACTGAGGGCCATAGATAATAAAAGATACCTCTTGTCATAGTTACCGTCTTCTTCTGAAACCCAGTGCTTGATGACGTTTAAGGCTCTTTCAATGACTGCAATCAACCTCTCCGTTTGTAGGCGGTTGGCATTACCCATAGCCGTGTGTATTGCTTGATCTTGAAGGGAACACCCTAAGACGTCCAAGTCAACCATTCTCATCAGCAGTTCCAGACAGACAGTGATCGCTGCATGGAAGAAATCGTTATGAAACATTCCCCCGCAGTAAGTCTGAATTCGGAAGGTTTTGTCAGTTTGACGATCCGTATCGTCCACGGATAGGCCGAAATATGACAATATTTCCAATGAAGAACCGAGACAAATGATACGAGAAAAGTGATATTTCGGGTCGTATGCTCCCATAATGGCCACTTGCCGGTGTATAACAAGGAGGAATCGACGGATTAGCAGGTCGAGAAGCACAGCTGGAAATTCAGCTTTCTGTGTTGCTGTTGATGCTGTCTTCTGCGCTGAAGTGAAAAAAGAAGGCAAATTTTGAAGCTCTTTGTTGATCTCTGTACTGAGTTTCAGAAGTTCCTGAAACGATGTTTTGGTAGCAAGACTGTTTGACAGTCGAACCACTTCTATTCTGGCAGCCAATGACTTGCACAAGACAGTCTGGAATGATGACCGTGTAAATGTGTTTGGCGGTTTCGGTTCTGGCAGCGCTACATCTGTCTCGGACATATCTTCGTCGTTAATGTTAGAAGGGGCACCACAGTCGCAATCACCAGGAGAGACCGACGGGAGTTTTCCAGCATCGAGAGAGGCCTGTATGTCGATTTCGGTAATCGTAGCCCACAGCCGTCGGCGCATTTCCGCGTGAAATGGTGACATTGCAGGGAAGGCATTCGGATCCCGATGAAGGCCCATGACCATAGCCGTTCTGACTAAGGCGCCCGAAGAAATCCATATGAGGTTGCTGTTGATTGAACTGGCCTGACGGGCAAGCAACAACAGACAATGCACCTGTAATGCATCGAAGATACTCTTGCTCTTCTCGATAGCCGCATCTAGCCAGTGCTGAACAGCGTGCAACCAACTTGAGACCAATTCTGTTGATATTGATTGGCTGCTTGACCGACCGTTGGTCTCGGCAAATTGAAAGCTACCGATCGCCATGACACAGAGTAATTTGGCTAAGAAAGCCGGGTTTTCTCCGAGAGGGGTGATCCAGAACCTATTGTATTCCCTTTGGAATGTTGGAACATGTAAGATCCTGTATGTATATTCAAACGTCTCAAAGTAGCAGGCAACAAGAGCATCGGCGACCTCGCGAGCAGGAATAAATGCATTCATAATAATAGATTGATGGTCAACAGTATGGTTACTATTCTTCCTTCTTTGCATTCTCACGGCTTTCATCAAGTCGTATTCCCGTGCTGGACCCTTGTCTTTACTTTCCAGGCAAATTTCAATGGTCGAATTTACATCGTCAAACTATACACATTTAGAGATTGAGTCAATATTGATCAAGGGGACCGTCTTACCTGTGCAAATGTTGAGGTCCAATGACTTCTGCCGAAGAACTTAGTCTTATTGTCCACACCGTGCAAACAATCTTCTGTGGGATGGATATGACGGAGCCCTGCCTTTGCTGGAGGGCAGTCTGGACGATGTCCATCGCAGTGGTAAAGAGGGGGGTCATTTGTGCGTTCTGAAAGCAGGTTCTCCAATGTCTTGATTCGCTGATGTAAATCTTGCATTGTCGATTTCTGGCGTTTGAGTGTTCGATTCTCCGATGAGCATGAGGATAGTCCACCCTTTGGTATAACCTCTATGGGCTCAGGAGAATATCCACTGTGAGGATCCTGCGCCGCACAATCTGTCTTATCTTCTTCGAAGTCATCGGTTGCCTCGTCTGCTACTGATTGGTTCCGGGTAGCATACGTGCAGATCTCAGCATTGCCAGATTTTTGGCACCGATCGCAAGGGACCGAACGATTGCATTTCAATTTGCGCCGTCTGCACTCGGTGCAAGACAACTGATGTCTTCGCCTTTTTTGTGGCCGGAAAGGCTGCGCGGTGCTCATGGTACAGTCCTTCGTTGCTAATGCGACAGGTAAAGGTAGGCAGGCCACACAGAAGGCGTAAGAAATTTTTGGAGACAGTCTCGTCAAATTTGTGAGGCTGAGATATTAATACTGAAACACCGATTCTCGGAGGTTTGGACTTTCACCCCGTTATCTGATCGACTATTACTCTATGTAAGTTATCTGATCCGTCGCCTTTGGCCCCTTTCGGCCTAGCCAACTTCCATCGTGGGCCTCTCGGCTGCCGACGGCAGTCTCATCGCCACTAATATTCATTCTTTCTTCCCCACCGGACTCCGGAGCAAGTCTCGATGTACTGGAAGCCGTCCGCGAAGACGGCGAGCAGGCCTCCAATGACATGGCGTCCGTCTAGAGAGAGCTGGTCTCGCTCTTGCTTCAGGGGCACCAAGACGCAGAACCACAAATGAGCCAACAAGACGCCCACGCGGAGGGCCTCGAAGATCTGCAATGGACCAGGCGCCAGGTCGCGAACTGGTCCGGACCAAAGACCAGTGCTGGGCGGAATTCATCAGACGCGACCCAACAGACGAAGGCCTGACACAGATGATGGTCCAGGTGATACCAAATGTTGCAAAGACCGAAGCGGCCCCGTCACGTCCCGGCTGATGGTCCTTCTTATGATTATTAATGATGATCCAAGAGACCCTCTTCTTTGTCATGTCGTTCGATATCATAATTGTCTCCATGATTATTCTTGCCTTGACGATGGTGGTATTCAGCCATGCTCCCGTAGGTGGCTGTCATGCCGGGATGGGTCAACAGTTGTTGGTTTGATATGATATGTATTTGCAATAAGAAAGCCTCATTTTCTTACTGCTTTGTTGATCCATCTTTGCTTCCACTAATATTATAAATCTGTTGAATCTCCTACCTGGCATCTGGGGCGGAGGACATTTCCAGTCCATCCGTCTGGCAAGGCAAACTAAAAGACCACCCGATCTTTCTCTCTTCCGAGAAGCTGACAGCATAACAACAAAAGAAATACAATGGCTAGATAGGTAGCGAGTGGTGCAAGAATCACGATCTTGTATCATTCTAAAGCTCTGCGTAATTCTAATATTATAAAATCTATTTATACGCACTGTCATGTGGTTTTTACGAACTTTACAAAATTAGGTGAGTATACCATATAAACACCTTTTATGCTCTTTATACAAATCCTTTTATAATATATCTCCTCAGATTGTACATAGAGAATTCAAAAAAAAAAAGAAGAAGGTAATGTTGTCTACTAATAAATAACTGAACGAAAGTTGTCATAGGTGTAGTCTTCTCAAAGATATACAAGATGTAATGGTGATATCATATCGCTCCTTATATTCTTGTTATATTTATTACGGCATACTAGGCCAGCCCAACCTAGCCTCCGTATGCCTGTAACTATAAGGTATTTACTCAATAGTCCTTTTCTACCAGAGCGTTTAGGAGCACAGCGTATAGAGTTCGTGGGACCGTCACGATGGGTCCCCTTGAATTCCATCCAGATAACGAGGAGTCCATGGAAGGCCTATACAGGGGAAGAGGTACCTATGGTCACCCTTATTACCTTTCATTGCTGTCAGTACTTGGAACAGCTCCAGCTGAAAAAAGTACCCGATCTGCTTGTCATGCTTATATCCTAGACTTCCCAGGCATGGCTTGGTTGTCCAACCCCCCGAAGTCTGTCGCTCTGCCACGATTTAACTACCCGAGACCAATCCATAGAAGATCATTAGATCAAGATATATGTCTTGCTTTGTATATAGTAGAATTTGGAGGATTGTCTCTTGTCAAAGTTGCTGAAAAGGGGATATAGCAAGAAAGCTGCTTACAGATGGTTTGTCTCAGGTTGACTGGCTTTGTGTGACGACTGTCTATTCGACTGTCTATTCAATGTCGTCCCATGTCATGTGGTACCTTCCTAATTAGGAAAGGTCAGTTCGCTTGACTGCTATATCAAATGTCTCCTCCCACAATCTTTGTAGCTTTCTTCTTCTCTCCAGCTTCGAATCCTAGTTAGATAGCTTCCAAATGGATTCATTTCATTTGACTGAGTTGTGACACTTTGATACGTTTCAATAGCACTTGATTCTGCTAGCATACACCCTCCTACCCTGTCCTATCTCCTACACTGATAGTCTCAATAAGATTGTTAAGCGCCTGCCACTCTCCGCCCACCTCAATTACGCTGGAGACTGAAATCCCATTGGCTTCTCAGAAAACTACTAGTTCGTCGGCTAAGTCGCAATCGGTCATTGTTAAGCTGGTAATTGAAAGCTGGTCCTGTATCTTGCAGAGCAGTGTGTTGCGGGCTAAGCCCATATCGCTGACTCAGCTTGGCTCTCGTCTCCTGATTGGCCCATTTGTTGTTGTTGATATAGCTCGCGTGCCCTTCTCTCTCCCTTCCTTTCTTCCTTTCTTCCTTCCCCAGCGAATCCTTTATGAGCTTCTAGTTTCTAGATAGCAAGGCTTTGGCCCGTCACACAGTGATTGCCATGATCCCTCTTCTCCAATAATACCTACAATATGAAAATGAATTTCTCTTAATATATCCCTGTGGATAATGATAAGCCTAGCCAAATCATCCTCCATGCAGTCCACCCTCCTGATCTCCAAAACATGGAGATGTTGTAGGCGTAAGGCTTTGCTGATTGCTCAAAATTCTTGCTGCTCAATGCATGGTCCAAAATGCAGATCAACTAGTTCCAACTATAGAAAAAGCATGATAAAGTTTGTAAGATTTCTTGCCCAAATGTCAGGATCTCCTTTATTTTCAGGATTAATTGTCAGGCAGAAGGCAGTGAGAGTTGTAGAGAACTGCAGCTAATTCGAACAGAGCTCTGGAAGCTTCAGCATATCTGGACCAACTATCTCTCTAAGGAATCCAGCACAGAGCTCAAAGGTTTCCAGTAGAATACAGCTTGCGGTTACTGCAGCAAAAACAATATAGAGTGCTCGTCTCACAAAGCTTTTACTATCAGTCTGCTCAATGTCAGATATTGGGTATACCCCAATTTCTCTCTTTAGAGAGACAGCCCCCCCAAGGTCAATGGTCATCATTAACAAACACTGTCCTGCAGTTTGCAGCATTGAGAAATACTTGCATAAGATATATAGTATCAAGACTGGATTCCCTCAGGTAAACTTGGTCGTCCAACTGTTGTTTATACTTTCTCTCATTTATGATAGCTTTGGTATCATTTATGGGATATTCCCATGTGCTGCGTTCAAACAATAGTAGTTCATCTGTCAGATGGTCTGTACAGATCACAAGGATGCGCAGTGAATAGCCAAACACTACGTGACATGAAACCTGCAGAAGATTCTCAAGGCTATACCAGCTAAGCATGTAGTAGCGCATGTGGAAATAGCGCTTTAGAAAGAGGTAGAATGATTTGTGGTTAAGATCCCTGCAAACAAGCCAAAAGTTGAAGAAGTCATCATTATCGAGCTCACTAGCAATCATGGTGATAAGGTCCATGGCAAGATTATTGAGTGTTGCCATGGTAGGATAAGAAGCTTGGGAAGCGTTCGATAAAGGTAGAAGGATTCCACAACTTTCTGAAACTATTGTGGGAGCTGGAAATCTTCTTTTGTTGAAGATGACAGCAAGACAGATTGAAGACAGATTGAAGACAGTAAATACCTGCCTGATACAGTAGAGTGGGAAAAGATGCAACTGGCAACTTGACACCATGCAGGCTTGAACGAGTCCAAATTTGAAAAGGGTTAGCAGGTAGGGTTTATTTTAAGGCTGCTGATCTGCCTTAGTATAACCACTTCATTTGTCATTGAGGTGTGCTGTGTGGGAAACTGACCAGCGATGACATCATCGAAAGTTAGCGTGTCAGGATGCTTAGTCAGGAGGTAAATAGAAAACATTCCAGGATAGGCAAGTAGATAGCGATAGTAGCGATAGTAGCGATAGTACATTGCACGCCTCGTTGGAGTCGTTGACCACCAGGGTCGAGTGTGCTGGTCGATGTGATTGATGATCTGGTACCAACGGTTACACTGCGAGGCCTGCAGCTGGGCGCGTGCCTCGCTGCTGCCTGAGCTAGCGACGCATAAAGCTCGCAAATCCCCTCTTGAGTATCTGGCCAGCTTAAATCTTTTTATCTCGCAGACAGTGGTCCATCGTGCACTAGAAATGGAACCGGAAGACCCGAGCGAACCCAGTCAACAGCCAGGAATGGTGGTTCCTAGCAAGAGGTCGAGAAGAAAAAAGAAAAAGAGAACTTGAACGTGAAGGAGCGCTCATTAAAGACCGAATGAAGTCAGGAAACTGGTTGCTCTTCCTTCAGGAGGTTCCCAAGGTAAAGGCCAGTCATTGCCATGTAATCTACATGCCGCACCCACCCTCTGCCCCTTCGTCATGAGTACTCCGTACAGTACTCATTTAATCGATACTGCGCATAAAGAACATATGCTTTCTTTTCTGGTCCCCTACCTAGCAGCATAACCGCATCTCTCTGAGATTTAAATTTATTCCCCTCGCTCGAGTCAAATATTAGATTATGGCTTTACCATCGCCCGAGGAGTTGCAGTCTCTGATCGCTGAACTGAATGATGTCGCGAAGGCATACAGCACTGCTCCCGACCTCAACGGTTACCTGCCGCGCATCCAGATTATTGACAGAGCAAAGAAACTGTCGCGAGCATTAATTACTCCTGAACAACTGCCTAATTATCATGGTCTCAACGTGAGTGATCTTCCCGTTGCCAGCCTATTGAAATTTATGTTCTTTTTGAAGTATTCCAATTTTCCTTTCTTGCATTGGCTGCTCTGAAGATTGCAGATTTGGTTGCATTGAGGACGTTTATCAAACTCAAGGTCCTCGAGGCAATCCCAGAGACGGGCTCGATATCTCTTCGGGACCTTGCACAGAAGACAGGTGCACAGGAATCGCTCTTAGGCACGTATTTTACAAGGATATATTATGCATTATTCTCGTTTGCAAAGTCAGATAGCCGTATACTGACACATTACTTTGTCTCGTGGCTGTAGAACAAATGGCTCGTGTTCTTGGTGAGCTTCCCCCTTTGTTCTGTTCTGTACTTTCATCAATAACCAGTAGAGGCAATCAATGGACTCATACACCTATCCGAAGATACTTCACACTGATCATCGATAAATTGCAGCTTGGCTGATTTCCTTTTCATGTTCTCTTTTCCCGAAACAGTTGCTACAGGGTTTCTTGATCAAACTCGCCCGGATGGCGGAGAATACAGACATACCAAGTTCTCCTTGTCCTACAACAGTCGTCCTGGTCCTGCACAATTATTCTTGGCCATGTATGTCCACGTTTTTTTTTCTTTTCTTTTCAGATAACGATTCACTTGCCCGAACTCTTCTCTTTGTGTTATTTTCTTCTTTGGTACACTTACAGAAGGTTGTTGGAGATAAGTACGATGAATGGTTCAAAAACATGCACAACTTTGACGACTATCTTGCTGCTCGAGGTCAGCTAGCAAATGCTCGGGAACCTGACGACGCTCTACACAACCCATACACTTGGACTCATAAGCAAGATGGTGTTCCCGTCTGGGCAATCATGGCCCGAGACCCCAAAAAGCTGCACACGTTCCAAGCGGGCATGTCGGGAATTGATGTCGCAATTCCAGTGGTTGGCCATTTTGACTTTGGTCATCTCAAAACAAGCCCGAATGAATCGCGGATGGAGCTTGTAGATGTTGGCGGCGGCCAAGGATCGTGTCTGAAAAAGATTCTGGAGACGTATCCGGAGTTGAGTCCAAAGAAATGCGTACTGCAAGACATACCAGAGAACATCAACGCTGCTAGATCCACAAGTACTTGCCTGCGGATTTGGTCTGCATGGTTCACGATTTCCGAACTGAGCAGCCTGTGAAAGGTATAGTAAAAAAGACTAAGCCCGCGAGTCTGCATATATTCCCATCCTCCCTCTATACCACATGATTTTTCTATCGAGCTAACCTATATGGGCGTTAACCTCTTCTCATTATGTAGGCGCAAAAACATACTTCATGCGTATGATCTTGCACGACTACTCAGACTCCGTCTGCGTCGACATCCTGTCTCAGCTCGCCAAAGCCATGGCTCCAGACTCGCGAGTGCTGATCTGCGAAATAGTCATCCCAGAACGGGTTGACGAAGCGACTTTCGCAGCCGCTGTCCTGGACCAGGCTGTCATGACCATGGGTGGGAAGGAGAGAACTCAGGAGGGTTTCAGAAGATTGCTCGAAGCCGCTGGCTTGGAGTTGGTAAATGTCTGGCGAGTGCGTGGTGTACCAGGTGGATGTGTGGAGGGAAGATTGAAGTGAAATTCAAAATGTGTATTTAATGGATATTTCGGCCATAAGAAAATCATCACTAAATCGAGTTATGTTTTCATCCTGCACAATATTCACATCTCTACGTTCGGAATTTTCCTCACCTGTTCACCTGTTTCCAAGTGTCCGTATGTTATTTTCATTTTTTTCCTCTCATATTTACGAGTCATGCTTAACCAGTCTCGCCAGGATAGGTCGGATAATGACATCAGCTTTGTTTTGATCCTGGAGATTACGATTTTTGAATTTCCCATTTTGCAGATGTATGTATGACAAATATAACTGATATGTACTCGACATAACAAAAACGAAACGAACCACTTTTAATGTGTACACGTGCAGGAATTTAATCGGGCCTTCATAATAGCCCGAGAGACACCAGACCTGCTCTCATTTTTGCTTGATTTATCTCGGCTTTGCGTTGTACCCCTTGCTTTCACAATTCGTGATTATGAAGGACAAATCAAGGATATGTCGAATTAGGAGGTCCATTCAGCTTAAAGTATCCGGGCTGGAGTGTTTGGAATACTTGATCCGGATCGTATTTCTTGGAGATCGCCTGCAGGCGCTGATGATTTTGCGCTCCATATGAGGGAACGACGTTCTGATATTGGCTTGCGTAATTCATGTAGAGGAATTCGTGATACAGACCGCGCGACTTGGCCTCGGCGATTGACTTGGAGGTGATGGCTCCCAGGACATGCATGATTGCTGCATCATCCGCTTCATTTGCCCACATGAAGGCGAGGTTCATTAGGAGAAGATTGCCCGCAGAGGGGCTCAATCCCAGTGCATTGCCTCCGTTCTTCTCCATCTGTGAAAGCATATCGGTGGTGATGATCTGCAAGACTAGGGCCGGAAGGAGGCCGGTGGCATTCTTGATGGGCTCGATTTCAGTCTCAAACAGGTCGACGATATATGTAACCAGGTCAGCATCCAACTTGAAGGTTGCGGTCCAGAAGCTTTCCCGCAGGCCGTCCGGGTTGGACTGTTTGAACTCGAGTGCGATGTCCGGCAGACTTTTAATTCCCATGGTATCTACTATAGCCGGGATTGTTTCAAACCCATCGAAGATAGGAGGCTTGATGACTGGTCGCGCATATTCGATATTTGCAACTGCCAGAAATGCTCCTTGTGCGTAGGCGAAATTCAGGATCAACGCAGCATCGGGGTCCTGGGACGCTCTCTGGGCATACTCGACAAACCCGCTGATCAGATCGGCTTGGTAATCGGTGGTGTAGATGCGAGATCCACCCCACATGACTCCCTGTGAATGCGTTGCAAGATCGAATCGGGTCACGATGCCAAAGTTGTTGCCACCACCGCGCAGTGCCCAGTACAAGTCCGGATAGGATGTATAGTTCACGTCGACAATGCGTCCGTCTGCAAGGACAACCTTCAGCAAGGATCAGTTGCGTGTTCCAGAAAAAAAATTGCCGACGGAAGGCATCAATACCTCGTAGTTGTTTACATTGTCGCAGGCCCAGCCATACCGCTGTGAGAAGAACGAGATTCCTCCTAGCGTCCATAGTCAGTGTACAAGGTCGTTTCCTGCCAGAATTCCATCCACGAACTGACCTCCGAGCGTCAAGCCTCCCACCCCGATATCTGCTACCCGACCTCCAATAACAGACAAGTTGTAGGGCTGCAGCGCACTGTAAACGTCTAGCCAGACATTTCCCGCTCCGATTTGCGCAGTCTTTCTATCCGGAGATATACTGATCGACTTCAGGGCACTCAGGTCGATGGTGAGGCCATTTTGAATGTTCGAACCGCCAGCAAAGGCCGCGTGGCCACCGCTTTTCACAGCAAATGGACACTGCGTGAGGCGTGCCAGCAACAGGCCTGCTGACACCTCGCTGGAGTTCGCTGGCTGGAAGATGCAGGCGGGCTGAACTTGGGCTTGCTGCTGCGACCAGAAACTGGCATCCCATACCGTGTATGCTGGCGTGTCTTTGGAAAGGACTTTTCCCGGAAATATCGCAGGAAGTTTCTCACACTATCCGTCCAAGGTGTTCAAACTTCCATCCGATCATAATTGTAGAGCCTGAGCAACGTACCAGCTGAGAACAGTGATCGTGAGAGGGCGTGTCCAACGACGCGAGGGTGGCTTCGTCGAAGAATTGCTTTACGTGCACGCCCTGCGCATCCAGGGAGGCGATCAGGGCCGGGTCGGCCAATGCGGCCACTGTGGACACGAGTCCTGCTGCAAGCACGAGACAAGCCCGCATGTTTTAGATCTTCCGGCTGCAGAAGCTTACGAGATAGCAACCGGCACGCATGGAAAAGCCAAGGAACAGACAGAGCGTTCGACCTTATAAACATCAATCCGGGGGGAGCCAGCCAGCCGGGCAGAGGCTGCCGCGGATATCCCTTCGATGAGCCCTGTCTCCGCGATTGCTCGGTCGCAGACAGCGCATCCTGTGCATTATCCTTTTTCTTCTTCATGTCCGAAATGGTGCCGGAACAGGAAGAAAAGAGTTCTTACGGCCAGGAAGCAGGCCCACATCAGGTCTCGTTGCGCCCCCACGCGTCGATGAACGGTCCCATGGTCGATCTGTGCGTCGAGAAGAGCGCAGTCTGGGGCTACAGGGACAATGTCCAGCACGCCAGCATGTTGGCAGCGTTGCATGTGTCAACCGCTGATATGTACACTAATTGGCAGTTGTATCCTCCGACAGCAATCTTGGCGACAAACAAGCAATCCTGTGGCACTCGGTGGCGTCGGGGCGGCCCGTCATTGCCGCCCAATTGGCCGAACTACCGGCTGCGATGCAACCTAAATATACACAGGAAGAGCGATGGATCACCGATCTACAGAGCATGCCCGAATCTGGCCGTGTCGACATATCCTGTTATCTAAGTCTCATCGTAGACCCCGTTCATCATGTGGTTGAAAACGAGGAGACCGGGTGAATCGCCCAACTCCCGGTTCCTGTCTTCCCATGAACTGTCCATCGAGGCACCGCCAGTCTTCCTTTCCTGGAGGGCCCAAGGCGACAAAAGAGAAGACTTGAGTCTCGTCTCTCATTGTAAGCCCTGGGAGCATTAAATATCTCGCGGTTCTGATACCGTCTTGGTGTGTCGGCGCCATGGACGAGACACAGAATTATATCAATGCGCGCCAGGTGACTACCACGGGCTATGCGATGATCGGGATTACGTCGTTCTTCTGCGTGGCGCGATTCGGGCTTCGATTTTGGAAATCAGTGCCATTCCAGGCGGAGGATGTGTTTATCCTGCTTTCATGGGGTGTCTTCCTCACCGTCGCCATCCTTTACATTGTTGTCACGCCCGTCCTCTACCGCGTCGACGATGTCATGTCCGGGAAGAGTCCTCCTTATGCTGCGATTGAACAGGATGCTCTCTTTATCATCAAGATCTTCTTCGCAAACACGCTGCTGTACTGGCTTACCCTTTGGGCTGTTAAGCTTTCGCTGCTGTTTCTTTATCAGCGTCTGTTCAAAGGTCTGCAAAACCAGATGCGATGGTGGTGGGCAGTTCTAATCTTCACCATTGTGGTGAGTGTTAATTGGGCAAAATTTGTTACCCAGTCCCGCAAAAAGAAGCTGCTGACTTCCTTGTAGACTTTTATCGGCTGCGTCATTTCCAATTTCACTGCGTGCAGCAGTATTCATGCCTGGTTTACTCTTGGTCCGTACTCCCAAATGGACATCTCACAGTGGTTGCACCTATAATGCTTTGCTGACTCAATTCCGGTGAATCCATGCAGGGGGCTGTAATACTCGTCGCGATGCGAGGGCTCAAATAGCCAGTCTCTACTACTCATTTGCTGTTGATGTCATCAGCAATATAATGAGTCAGTGGTTCCTCGACTAACCGTGTAGTCCGGATTCTTTATCACTAACGTCTACTTTTTAGTCATGATATTGCCTCTCAAACTATTATGGTCCTTACGCCTACCTCTTGGCCAGAAACTGAGTGTCGGCGCCGTGTTTTCCATCGGTATCATTTGTATTATCATGTCTATTGTTCGGGTGGTTCAGGTCGGCTCCAAGGCTAAGAACGACAGCACACCAAGCAGCTCATGGCTGGCCTTCTGGGGGATGATTGAAGCAGGAATTGGTACGTGAGCTCGCAGTTTATCAAGGATCTTTGCATAAGACCCATGAGAAGGGCACTCTCCTGACTTATTAATCTTTCCGCTGCAGCTGTCGTAATCAGTTGCCTTCCTGCTTTCGCCATCATATACCGCAAGACACGAAATTCTCGCCGTCAATATGGAAGTGGTTATACTGAGATGCCTTCATATGGCAATCCGCAGGGAATACCCTTGTCCACCACCACAATAAGCGCAAAACATTCTCGATCGAGATCTTTCGGAAATAGCACTTTCCACGGTCACGATACAGTTACTAAGCCTGGGAAAATATCTGTCACACAAACCATTAATGTGAGTCTCCCGGGGACGACTGGATAATTGTTGAAGTCTGTACATCGAGCTAATGTAGAACATCCGCCATGCACAGATGCAGGATAGTTATGTTAAAGGAATTGCTACATAACTAAGTTTTAGAGTCGATAAGGTCCCTGTGATCAAAGTTAACTGGGAGCGGTTTTCAAGGTCAATTGCAGCGGGTTATACTGCAGTCAGCTTGATATTGCTCTCATTATGCCATGGAATCTAGAACACGTTGAGTCATTCCTATTCGATGGTGCACTCTTTGAAAACCCTTGAACGTATGATTTCCAGACCTTAGAGATTGAGGGATTCTTCAGAACTACGTGTTGGCTTCGTTTCCCAGTAAATGAAAAAGCTTGGAAGGAATACGTATCTACAGAGCCTGTGCTATGCCTCCTCCATCTTTGGCCTTGAATTGATTTGTCAGTCAATCCTCCCCTTGGTAATTACTGTGGGAATACAAGAAAAAACAAGACAGGACTTCCCACGAATTGAATTGTTGAAAGTGCGTGAGAAAATAACTCCAGAGCTGGCCCGAGCTCACTGGATTACTCCTTGGCAGCCATCAACTGAAATAGGATTTACTGTGATTTCTGTATGATATCGACATATATATATCTTCATGCTTACCGGTATACTGCACCACAAACAATTGATCGGTCATTAACAGGAACTACAAACATTCTCGTTACCTTACTCTCTCCGAACATTTTCACCGTCCTCAATTTGCAACTTTATCGAGTATCGCACCTCTCGCGAGCTCCTCATCGTTTTTCTCCAAAACAACACGATCGATACCCTTGCACTTATAGCTCTGAAACTTCCACGCGTGTAGGCGGGCCTCGAACATTTCGCCGATCTCCTCGAGCGTGCGATTCTTGACCTCAGGGAGGAAGAAAAACACGAAGGCAGCAGCAAGAAAACATGAGCATATCCAGATGTAGCCGTATTTGGGTCTATGGACATCAGATTTCGCGATACATCACTACATACACAATACAAAGGGCCGTTAAAAGGAACAGAGCCACTTACCCCCAGTTGAGTGCGCTAGGGTTTATACAGTATGGGGCCGTAAAAGTGGTGAGCCACTGTATTCTGTTAGGGTCGATGATTCTGAGATAATTTTGATTGAATTATGCTTACAGCTCCGAGGAAACCCATGGCCGCAGCAAGCCCAAAAGTATAAGAGCGTAAACGCTGAGATGGCAGCTTGCCGCCGGATACCCAAGCGTAGGTGGATACCATTCCCTAACAATCGTCAGCCTGTTGTTACAGGAAACTGGATTGGGCAAACAGGAATTTTACATTGTAACCGATGATGAAGATCACAGAGATGCCAACGATTGCTTTTCCGGTCTGCTCTGAACTCGGGTCCTTTGTGTAGATAATAGCGATAATAAGCTGACAGAGTCCGCAGAGGATTAACCCAGTTGTTAGGAAAATGCGACGGCGACCGATCTTGCTGATGAAGAGAGCGTTGATCATCATGACAACTATACCGACTGCTACCAAGATGCAGGAATTGCGTCGCCGATGCTTGCCATTTCGAAAAAATAGGTACCGTATGCTGCAAGTGGTTAATATATGATAACTCTCGGCGACAAATGAGACTCTAACCTATCATATACATGGCTCCCGATGCAGCTTGCGTGGTGATAGCTGCAATAGCCAGAAAAGTACGTCGTCGATCGACGGAATTCCTGAACAGGTCCCAGAAGGTAATGCCCTGGCCATTCTCCTTTTCGACCTCGATTGCTGTGACAATGCCGCGAAGCTCCTCTTCAATGTTGCTTTCCTTTGGACGCAGCCACATGAGAGTCCTGCGAGCGTCCTCGTAGTGACCTTGTTGAGCTAGCCAGCGAGGTGACTCCAGGACAAAAAACATGCCGACCGTGAGAATAACGGGAACAATGTAGATTATCCCCAGAGGAATGAGGTAAGACTCCCGAGTAAAAATCTTGGAAGTAAAATTGTCGACAATCGTGCCAACCAGTGTATCAATCGAGATCTAGAAATCGAAAGCTGCGATTACCATGCCGCGGTAGCGAGCTAGGGAGCATTCCTAAAAGAATAAGTAACCATAGAGTTATGTCTTCTGGGACAACGCCTTCACCTGCAGGTAAAGCTGAGAACAAGTCATGAATAGCCCGTTCGCAAGCCCGATTAGCAGACGGGCGAAGTAGAGGCCACCGATACTGGTCGTAGCCATCATAATAATATTTGCAACGCAATACATACCGCTAGCAATCCAAAGAGACTGCTTGCAGCTGATCTTGGCAGATATAAAGCCTGGCTTGTTAGCGACACCAATAGATCGCCAGATATACTGGCACCTGCAGAAGTAGAGCCCACGAATGCCCCAAGCACCATAAGGGACGATATCAGCTGTTGGCGAGTAGCACTTATATTATAGCCGATTGGGGTTTTCGGGTCTTCATATCCAAATACCTATTACAATATTAGTCTTTTGAATCAGAAGAGCACCGTAAACTACCTTGAGGAAACCAATCATAGCTTGCAACCCGCTGATCAAGCCGTAATCCATCCCGTACTGGAACGGTTGACATGGATATGAGAGAGCACGCTGCGAGACATTTCCAATGCTGAAGCACACCGCGTTTACTGTCAGCCATTTTGCATAGTAAATTGAGCTGTATGTGAGAAGATGTGGATGATGATTGATGTGTTTTGATCGCGAGATCCTGGTCGATCACTTCCGGATTTATATATTCGACAATCCTCGATGGACGAGTGCAATATACTTGCATCCATGTGAGCTAGAACAACCTGGATCTGCAGCTAGTTATCAAAATGCGGGGAGACGATGTGGAGGTTGACAGGGGTTAATGTGGGAATCCAGTGGAGATATGGGGAAACCATTTCACCTGGGGGAAACAATCCAAGATCTCGTGATATACAAAGGAGGTCTAACAGTGCAACATAATAAATTAATCTTGGCAGGTCGTCCGCTTGAATACGAGGTATTCCTGCCGGCAAGAGACGACCCTGGCACTCAAAAGAACTTAGAGGAAGGACTCGGGATGAACAGGCAGAAATTAGTAGTCCCGTAGTCCATCCTACGCCTGATTGATAAGTACAGGCTGGACAATCAAGAGTGGGAGAAAGATGGAATTTACAGCCGCCGCAAGTGTACCTACGATCAGGTTTGCTCAGTGAATTGCCAGCCTGCGATTTTCTCCCCAGTACAAACTTCTAATGGCATCAATCCTGAGAGGTTTACATGAGAATTCCCTCAACCAATGAGTGAGTTCAATCCGGAATGTATAACCAGAGTTGAAACGATGGTGAACATGGGCGGAAATCTGTTGATCTCATACAGCGTCCCCAGCTGCGCGGTAATAAGGCAACTACGCCTTACATCGGATGAGGCACGCTGCGAATTCCGTACCGATTGTTGGACTTTTCATGGGCATCTGCGTGTTTCTATAAGTCTATAGAGGTTGACGGAGTAGATTATCGAGGTAATTGGGTTTCCTTAGTTCAAAATCGTAAAAGACTTGTCAGGTAGATTGTCGCCACATATCCCTTTTATGACGACTCCGTGGGAGCAGCTGGTCATTAGATAGAATGCTTGTTCAGTTTCCCTGCTAGCAGCAGTTTCTGCAGGTTCCTCATACTCTTCGTCTGGCAAAAGAGCATCCTTCTCACTGCGACAACACTAATCACTGCACCGCAGGCGGGGAGGGACATCACCAGCAGCGACAACCAAGCTACAAAGAGAAAGAGCAAACAAGGGAAACAGAGAAAACACCATCTGCTATATCCCGTAGCTCCGGCACTGTCCATGACAACGTTCTCTGTTAACAAAAAGTGAAGGAGAATAGACTTAAGCCCAAGCTTAGACATGGATAAAGATAAGAAGGAACTACGCCCCCTTTTTCAGGACATCTTTACCATGTCTCTTGAACTCTACCTTCGAATTGAACAAGAGCTATTCTTTTTATGCTTTTCTCCTGCTTCTTTCGCCCTTGCTTTTATCAAAAGATTTTACAGAGCAAGAGAATCGCCGCCTCCACAGACTGACGAATAACTGAATGCAACAAGTGAAAAAAAAAACTCAGATGAAATAAATAAATGAATAAATAAATAAATAAATAGAAATAAATAAATAAATAAATAAATAAATAAATAAATAAATAAATAAATAAATAAATAAATAAATAAATAAATAAATAAATAAATAAATAAATAAATAAATAAATAAATAAATAAATAAATAAATAAATAAATAAATAAATAAATAAATAAATAAATAAATAAATAAATAAATAAATAAATAAATAAATAAATAAATAAATAAATAAATAAATAAATAAATAATTGTGTACTTCACATATTGAGCGAAAATGTGTCAATTCAATAACTAGAGCTGATGATGCTAATTTATTTGTCGAGATTTGGAGAAAGAAAGCATTTCGACCCTTGACTCCGGACAGCAGGCAGCCTCCAGGGCCGTCTCAAGAGTTCAGAGTAGCAGCGGTAATGAGAATCATTTATTTGTTCGTTTATTTACCCCAGTACGGGTTCGTGACCAAATCGTGGTTGGGCCCGCAGCACTGGCCGAAGATTCGGTTCCCCTGCGAGTCGTAGAGACAGTTGTCGGCGCCGAAGTAAATGTCGCCATAGTTGTGCGGCCAGACAGCCGTGAGTTTGCAGCCGGCCTGGACCTTGTACATCGTGCTGTCACCACTGAACCCAGCGTAGATGGTCGCAGTGTTGTTAGGCTGCTGGTTGTCGGGGATGTTTTGGGAGTCGGGGTGGCATGTCGGGTTTCCGTTAATCAAAATGCATCCGTTGTTGACGTGCTGTGAATGATTTGTCAGTTCGAAAAAGAAGGAAGAAAGAAAGAAATGCATTTCCACGTACAATGTTCGTTCCTCCAGTGTTGTAACCCTGTGGAGTGTCGCAAGGCCACCACTTGGAATTCGGATTGTTTTGCGAAGAAGCCTCCACAGCCGCATTGACGTCGGTGCAGATGGGCAGGTTAAAGAAGCCAGGAGTTCTGATGCCATTTTGGAAGATGTAGTCGCCTTCCGTTCCATGTCCGTCAATGAAGCGGGATTCATCAGGCATCTGGTACCCGTTGGTGTTGTTGTTGAGCTGGTATGCCTGGTACGAGCTGATAAAGATATCGTCAAGGGTCACTCCGCCGAATTTGGTCCCATCAAGAACGTCAACAGTGCCACCAGGCAGCGTCCCAAACGGCCACTGATCCCCTGGTATTTGGACGGTGGTCATAATATATGCAGCCTGCCCGTTGTTGCAAACCTGTGCCTTGCCAATGACGTCGGTGGGGACGTTCCGCTTAATATCCTCAGAAGGAGGACCGCAGGAGTCGTTGGTCAGCCTAAATGTGGGGTTTAGCCGGGTGTCCTAACAGATGAGGTTTGAGGATGCGCAAATACTTACAGGATAAAGGGGTGAAGACCCTGTGGTGCAACAGTCCAAGCACTCTGGATCAACTGACCGTACATGATCTTTTGGGCTTGGAGTGTGATGTTGCTCAGGTCGATATCGTTAGGAATAGCAGTCATGCTTCCGTTTTTGATCATGGTGTAGAGATCAGAAATTGAGTTGTTTTGCGAATTCCCGGAGAAAATCGCCGACAGATAGCCGGTTTCAGCACCTTTCCACGCACCGAAAATGGTGCCGAGAGCTGATGATACTGAGTTCTGTGTTTGCAGCGCGTTCTGTGTGCTGAGGAAACCACACCTATTAGTGTGGGATGCAGTTTCTGATTCTCATGGGTGTGACTCACGCGGGAAGGTTGGTTCTAGCAGTACCGATCGCAAAGCTAATTATATTATTAATTGTGTCTTGCGTAAGAGCCATAACTGCATTGTTCTTGAAAAATGAACTGAGAACTAATGACATGTCAGAACGAAAGCCTTGATTTCCCGGGGAGGAATGAAGTTCAACACGTACAAAAGTTCCATGAATACGAGCTGAAAATGCCAACGGCCGCTCCGATGCCATTGAGAATGTTATTTATAACGGTTGTATCGCTGGGGAGTTGAGGAGCGAATGTCTGAGCAAAGGTTCCCAGGTTAGGAGTCATTTGCGCAAGGGCATCGTCGAGGGCCCCAGCCATGTGTTGGTAGAGCTGCATGCGAAATCAATGTTAATGATGAATATACATATGGCGATGCAATGGGATGATATATATTGTCGAGCTCACCTGATGAACCGAAGAAAAGGAGTTCAGGATCAAAAAGCCAGCAGGATGGTCGACTTGATCACACTGAACGACCGTCGAGCACGGCACATTGCCAACGTCCTGGCAGTTCCAGCTCTCAGGGCCGTGGAAGAAGTTGCTGATAAAGGCAGAAAATGGCAAGGAAACCCCTCCGGACTGCGATTGTCCACCGGTCCACGCTTCAACGGCCGCATTCCAGGCATCATCGGTATCGGCAGCTTGCCATCTGCTAGACGGAGCTGCAGCGGCATTCGCAATAGTAGGGTCAGAACACGAGACAATTTGCCATGAACCAGTGGGAGTCGGCCGAGCTGAGCTACTGGGAGTCGCCCGAGATGAACCAGAAGGAGTCGCCCGAGATGAGCCAGTGGGAGTCGGCAGAGATGAAGCACTGTGAGTTGGCAGAGATGAAGTACTATGAGTCGGCAGAGATGAAGTAATATGAGTCGGCAGAGGTGAATCAGTATGAGTCGACAGAGATGAATCAGTGTGAGTCGACAGTGATGAAGATGCGACGTGTGAAGATGAGGCAGTCGTTGAATGGTGTGCTGGCAGAGCAGTCGCCAGACCCAAGAGGTCTAGCAGAAGAGTGATTTCGAGCAAGCGCATCGCACGGAGTCCAATCAGTGAGGTAGAAGAAAGGAGTGAGTAGAAAGAGGAGAGGATTGTTCCTGAGTTTTCGAGCTACCAATTCAGGGAGGGAGGCCATAGGCCTTTTATTATCGTCAAGAAGCAGAACTACATACTCCATCCAGCCGTGTAAAACACGAGATGCGTAGACTGTGGACCCTGTAAGCATGATTGTCGAGTTGTTCCTAAATAAAGAAAATTGTGTTCAGGAACGCGATGAACCTTAATGATGTCTTGTCTCCTGGTCGAGATGGATGGAGATCTTCAGATGGCCACTCAGATGCGTGCCCGCCCACATTCAAGGTTAGCTTTCCGCCCCCAAGCCCCACAGAGCCCGGTTACTGGCCCCCTGCTCTCTGCCTAAAGAGGGATAGTTATCTGCCAAGAAAATTCGCGAAAACAGCCACTTTCACTTTAATTGCACGTTTGGAGCGCTAGTCCCAAAGAGGTATTTGGTCGCACAACTTTATTGTTTTTCCGGGATCACCGTAAATGGTTTGCCGTAAACACCGAAGGGTTACTGCAACAGCGCTGAACCATTGAAGGGAGGTCTTGGAAAGAACATGCACTTAATCTCCACCGGGCTGCTATGCAATCTATAAACTAGTGTCTCTTTCAAAGGAAAGCTTCTAGTTCCCTGCTTAGTGAAACTTAGCCGCCCCCGCAGCTATCGTCGTGACTCTGCTATCTCTACGAGAAATCGCTGCGACAATACACGAGCTCTGATAGTATTTGTCATGGCTTTTGTCTGTTGTCCTCAACTCAGATTGCCCAGACAGAGAACCAGTATCAGCAACAGAATCAGAACCATGTTTAGAAGAGAAAGGTTGGATCCAGGTGTTAGCGTGATCATCCATGTATGGAGTATATACAGCCCTCGGAAAGGATGAAGTACCACACTGCCGAGGATCAACAAGCTGAGACAAGCTAGCCCGATATCTTCAGGAAGAGCAGGTACTCCACGCCTCTGCACCTGTCCGCAGCCAATCAGCGAGTGAGTTTGCACCTTTTATTACTCTACATGCATTGATAAATGTGTTATGGCAATGCCGTAATAAACACACGTGGAAGATGCTTGAATGAGCTAAGATTAAGGAGGCTCCACCCTACTTACATGGATGGTCCATACACTTGACCGTCTCACAACAATGGACCACCCATGTGCTCCAACGATGGAGTTACAGAGTTGTCACATGACGCTGAAGAAGATAACAGGATTACTCTGTAAATGGTGACTCCACACATACCTGTGCAGTTAGATTACTGAAAGCGACTGGAGCTTGACCTGCCAATAGTCGAGTAAATTGACTCGATACTATTCAAACGACATAACATGGGTGCTTCTGATACAAAAGATAAAGGATGAGCCACCATTAGGTAATGGAAAGGGAATAAACCTTTGACAGATAGTAATTGAATGGGAAGACCCAAGTTCGGTAGCATTTTTGCCTGGATTTTTTTTTCACGTTGGGCATAGATGGAAATATTTATCTACATCTATATAGCTGTGAAGCTACCTGAATGGCATTGAACGGCAGAACAATAGGACTAGGCAGGAATTGCAAAACTTGTTTAAGACATCTAACGAATTATTTACCTGAAGACATTATGATAGAGTTCTGGCCATTATTGACCATGATGATCTTCAACACTGTAATTTTGACCTGTCTGTCGCAAGCCAATGTTGCAGTGACTGGCTGCCTCTTGCCTCTTTTAGTTTAGCGTCTTGCCTAAAAGGTAGAACGCCTATTTCTCTTACCTTCCTGTATGTACAGTACAGTTCTTAGGAATCCGAGCCTTCTTACGCTTCCATCTTTCATCACTGTCGATGAACAGCAAACTCCATCTTGTGCCGACCACAGCCAGCACACAGATGGTCACTGATCTTGACACAGGCTCAGGGATCCGGGCCGTTGATGTGGCTGATCAATGCCCATCAGCTAAATGTCATAGGAGTCGACACGGTGGCATTGCAGCCTGTCTTTGTACCTCCAAATGTGCTATTCGAGATGCAAGATGCCGAGATAAATCGGCTCTGGGGAGAAAGCCATTTCGACTTAAGGGCCGGAAGGCTATATCTGCAGCTGGCTGGCTCCGTCTTGTTCGTCTCGGATGATGCCACTATTCCACCCGACGAATCGGTCCACAGGCAAGAACCAGGAAATCTTGGGAGGCTATCCTGTCCATTTCAAAGTACCGATGGCGCAGGCGAGGATACAAGTCTCGAATTGAATGATGCACACTTATTCACTTTTATCGACTTCTCGTGGAAGGTGATTACAGGGGCCTATGAAGTCTACAAATCGCCCAATGGAACGACCTCCGAGAACGCCTGCATCAGCACAATCCTTGCAGACCTCCAAGAAGCCACGGAAGGTTTAATTTCTGATGTGGAAGGAAAAACCAAACACAAAAAGGCTCTAATCGTCCTCGCCGACAACTGCCACGACTTGTCCCAGGACTTCTCGAAAATCCTAGAGAAACTTAAGGCCACCGAAAAGAACTCGAAGTGGCAAAGTCTCAAAGTAAAACTGGCAAGCATGAGGAAAGAGAAAGAGATAGCGTCTATTGAGAAGAGGCTGGATAGCTACCGATCACAGATTCTCCTCCGGGTGAACTTCATTCTCTGGTACGAGTCCGCTGCTGTCTGTATACACCTATTACTAACCTTGAATGACAGTGAGCGACAGTCATCCACCAAGACGCAGCTTGACAGGATGGAGAATGAAGGATTACAGATGCGTACCGAAAGTGCAAGCCAGCTCGCTGGTCTTCGAAAAGAACTAGGGAAGGCGATTCAAAAGCTACTAAAGGAACAAAAAGAGGACGCGGAAACCCGACAAATAAATGAAGCGGAGCAGATAAAATTATTGACAGAGATTCGCTCTTCTCTGTCTAGATTGCAGTCAATGACGACATCCATGTCGCGAGAGAATCGTGTTCTGCGTCGGCTATATTTCAAATCTATGAATAGCCGCGAGGACAATATCACAGACGCGGAGAAAGGAACTTTCAGATGGTTTCTCGAAGACCGAAGCGATTGCGCAGCCAGTGTCACAGGGGAAAATGATGACGAAGAACCAGTAATGCGACAACGTACGCGACACTCTTTCCTGAAGTGGCTTAATTCAGGCGGTCAGATTTTCTATATTTCTGGAAAAGCCGGGTCTGGGAAGTCTACTCTACTGAAATTTCTCTTTCAACATTCCCGTGTTCGACGAGAGCTTGAAGACTGGGCCTGCGACAAAAAGCTGGTTTTTGCGAATTTCTTTTTCTGGAACTCTGTGGACAAACTAACAGATGTCACTTGAGGGACTCTATAGAGCTCTTCTCTTCGAGACTTTGAAGCAGTGCCCTGATCTCATCCAGGAGATCTTTCCAGACCAGTGGAACATGCTTGAAACCGAAGGAGTTTTCGACGGTATTCCATTTCGGTTGCCTGAGATAAAGGCGGCATTCAACCGCCTGATAGGCAAACAGACCTTCCCAAAACATCGTTTCTGTTTCTTCATCGACGGCCTTGATGAATATGAAGGAGAAAGTGTCGAACATTGGGAACTGGCACGGGATCTCCAGAATTGGGCTAACTCTGGGGATATCAAGATTTGTGTCAGCAGTCGACCGCATACTGCGTTCTTGAGCACTTTCTCTGATAATCCCAATCTTCGAATTCACCTCCACAAGCTCACTCGTCGCGATATTCATCGATTTTGCTGTGAAAAATTTGAAAGAGATGTCAACTTCAACAGAATCAGAGACATATATTTGGATCTGGTGAACGACAATGGCAGATGGCGTATTCCTATGGGTTCGCCTTGTCGTCTACTCACTTCTGAATGGCGTTGGTCACCATGACTCACCTTCGGCTCTACGACAGAAGCTGAAGGCACTTCCTAAAGATTTGGATGAATTGTTCGACAAACTACTGGGTTCTATTGACCCCGCCAATCGCAAAAGGTTTGACAAAATATTTCTAATCGCAACTCGTAGTGGGTTTCCCCTTAATTCTCTTATCTTCTCTTGGCTTGACGACCTTGAAGACCCGGTTTCCCATTTAAGGGCCCCGTCCGAGGTTATTCTGACAAGGAAATCAAAATAAGACATCAAGATCTACGATGCCAGCTCGATACATTGTCGAAGGGGCTCTTGGAGATGGTACCTACTAAGCATTCCGACAACCTCTATTTCAAATACGAGGTCCAATTCCTTCATCGTACTGTGCGAGAGTACCTTCAAGACGACTTGATAATTAGCCCAATAAAGGCTAGACTCACGAGCTTTAATTTTACTAAGGAGTTCAGCCGCTTATGTCTGGCAGAGTTCAAATTCTCCAGGACGAAGAATGACTACTTGCGTACAGTCATTTCTCCATACTATGGCAACTTCCTCCATTGTTACAATCAGCTGACCAAGGAGCATATTTCTGGGGAGGACCTGCTTCTCAAATATCTGGATGAGCTCGGAAGGATTCTCGACAGTCATAGTCAACTTCCATCCTTTTACCCTAACGAGACAGACACAGATACTGGAGATCTTTTCTGGCGCCAGATGTGGAACGTGCGGAATCACGTCCAACCATGCAATGTCAAGCATATTTCTTATCTCCATTTGACCGCTTTGTATCGTCAGGCCAAATATGTGTCTCACAAAATATTGGAGCACCCCGAATTGGCTCAGACTAGTGATGACTTGAGCCTCCTTCTTTCCGTCTCTCTCGCACCGAACCCTGACCCTGACTTGGTACTCTTTCTCTTAGAACATAGCGCCTCCTGCCATGACCAAGTTCGAATACGCGATGAAAAATCAGAATACCCCACAACAACGGTATTATCCAATATAAGACAGTGACGGACTGGATGATTTTTCTTGTCAACTTTGCCAATAGCGTGTCTGGTGGACCTCCGTATCGTTCGGATGATGTCTATATTGTCTTAGAACATTTTCTAACTGTTGGCCCTTGGCCGGAGCCTTGCAAAAGAATCGCCCAGATCCCTCAGTCAATGCCCCTGTGGACAAAGGGACTTTTTCAAACCCATCCGTCCACGTGCGACCCAAGTTTCGATACTGGATTCCGGATGCTTCGGTTGACCCTGCAATCGTTGCCCGCGACGTTCAGGCTGCTGGCAATGTAGGCGCTGCTGGACTGGAGGCTCTAGGTTACTATCTGTACGGTGGTCCGCCGTCAAATGCAGGAAGAGGAACCGCTGCTCCGGTTTCATGGGCCACATATGGATTTGGAACAGAGGCATGGAGTATGTTCTGGTCCGATAATGAAGTTATTGAGCATTGCTGACTCTAGACAGACACTCTCTTCAAGGCCATGGCACAAGCCCACAAAGACAACAATCTGATTATGGACTTCGCCATGGGACCGAATCAGGGGACAGGTGTGCCCGCCCCAGCCAATTCTGATGGACTCATGTGGGATCTCGTCGCTTTCAACGTATCTGTGCCAGTAGAGAGGTACTTCCAACGACACCCTGCCAGGATGGGGCACAGGAAAACTGGAAGCTGCGGTAACTGCGTTGGCGACGAAGTCGGAGGTTCTCACGTCAGCTGCACCAGGTCTACCCGGAGATCTCCCACTTAACCGGACGCAGATAACGCTGGCTACATCCAGCCTGACGGACGTTACCAGCAAGGTCGATGCAAACGGGCACTTGGAAGTTCAATTCGACGGCAATGTTCAAGGGCTAAATTACACCGTCTTCGCTATCTATCTCATCCACTCCCTCTACCGAGCACAGGATGGGCCTGAAGATCTGGGTGGACCACAGACTCCGGCGAAATCTCTTGCGCAGAACGGCTCGTGGGCGGTCGATCATTTCTCAGAACTTGGCGCACACACGACGACCAACTTCTGGGAACAGCACATCCTCAAAGAACGGCACGCGGGAACTGCTCATGGATGTAGGAAACTACGGCTGGGAGGACAGCGTTGAAATCGAAGCGAATGTGTACTGGACACAAAACATGTCCAGCCTCTTCCAGGCCGATCACGGTTATTCAATATCCAAGTGGCTTCCTATACTGTTCCACCGGAATGGTCATGCAAAGCAATCGAATCCGCCGGTCTGGTGGGTTACCGATGAGCCTGATAACGGAAACAGTCATATTGCGGACTATCGAAAGACGGTGAGTCTGCCGCAGCTATACGACAGGAACTTGCTAATGGCATCAGCTTGCGGCGCAATATCATAAATATCTAAATACGTGGGCCGAAGACTACCTGGGTCTAGAGTTTTCTGCCCAAGTATCATACAACCTGCCAATGGACATGGTACGGGTTACCTCAAATGTCAGAATGCGCAACTGACATTTATAGCTCGCAAACATCCCCACTGTCGATGCTCCTGAATGCGAATCGCTCGACTTTTCCGACCTGATCGACGGGTATCGTCAGTACGCAGGCCCTGCGAATCTTGCCAGCAGACGTATCGTCTCGTCTGAGTGCGGTGCTGTTCGCGGCGAGGCGTTCGCTCAGACGTTGCCCGAGTTGCTCTGGAAGACGAAACGCTCGTTCGTTGGGTCTATTAACCAGTTTGTGTTCCATGGATTTCCATATTCCGGAAATGTGAGATTCCCTCATTCCTGAATGTATTTACAGTGCTGACGCCTGGCTGTCTTGAAGTACGGCAATACGACATGGCCGGTGTTCACCACGTTCAACTATCAGTACTCTTCGATGCATGGTCCACACGAACCTGCTTGGGAGTTTTACCGCGATCAGATCGACTTCGTCGCGCGGAACAACTACATACTCCAGTCTGGAACGCCGAAGATTGACGTCGCTTTTTGGCAGAAAATCACCACGTATCCAGGGCACATAACGAACAGGACATACGAACCGACAGACTTGGAAGAAAAGGGTGAGATTATTTTCATCATATTTTAGAGGACTCAGGCTAACAATGCAGGTTACTCGTACGAGTATCTAAGCCCGGACAACTTTGTGCTGCCAACAGCATGAGTCGAGGATGGCGTTCTCGCTCCTGATGCGCAGGCCTTCCGGGCGATGGTCGTCAGAGCCAACGACTCGCTCACCGTTGACGGCGTGTCGAAACTCGTCGAGTTTGCTCATGCCGGTCTCCCAATCATTTTCTCTGGCGGTCTTCCGTCGTCATATCTTGGAACCAAGGACCCGAAGAGTATCGCGGATGCACAACACTCGCTGAACGAAACCACGTCGCTGCCAAATGTCCATGTCACAGACTCGTACGACGGACTGGCTTCGACACTGGCATCACTGGGGATCTTGCCAGCGACAAGACTGTCCACCAACAGAACATGGTTCACGATCAGACGATCAGACAACCAGACGAATGAGGATTACATTTTCGTGTACAACGACGCAATGGAATCACCACTTGGCGAGGAGTATTCCGAAGGCACGCTTGAATTAACTTGACTGGGATCCCGTATGAATTCAACGCCTGGACGGGCGAGCAAACTTCTATCCTCACGTACACGCAGTCGGAGAACTCGACGTCGATTCCGATCAAACTGGCAGGGAATCAATCTACCATCGTGGCATTCCTCCCGGAACCACTGAACTCGTCTTCCTATCCTCACACGCATCTCACTGATGTGTCAGATGAGATCCTGGACGTTGCACCCTCGGGAGACGGCAACATTGTCCTGAAAGTCGGTCCCGGGTCATCCTCTCCTTCGTACACGGTCTCAAACGGTACAAAGCAGGTTCTTCCACTGGTCCAAGTTCGCCCATCACGCTGGAGAATTGGACCTTGACAGTCGAACACTGGGACCCGCCATCGAACCTGTCCGACATCGAGGGCGGCGCTAGAAAATACGACACAACGCACCATCTCCCCCGGCTTGTCTCGTGGCAGGAGATTCCGGGGCTGCAGAATGTCTCAGGAAGAGGCTACTATTCTACCTCTTTTGAGTGGCCTCCCTCTGACGGCGTCGATGTCGACGGCGCAATCATCGACTTTGGCTTCGTGGTACACACCCTCCGCGTCAGCGTGAATGGACATCAACTGCCGCCTCTGGACGTCACAGCCGCAAAAGCAGATATCGGACAGACACTTGTTCACGGAACGAACGTGGTCGAAGCCGTCGTGGCGACTCCTCTGGGCAATGTCCTCCGGCCCATCTGGTATCAGTTGCAGACGTCGGGAACAGGGCCAAGTGATCCTGTTGCTGGAGGGCCTCCGCCGCCAGCGGGGAATTATGGATTGTTGAAGGATGTGGTTGTGGTGCCGTATAAGGAGGTAGTCGTGGGTGGAGATTAGTCGTCATTCCGAGAATAATTGTACTATATTGTAGTACCTTTCCTAAAGATCCTAATATAAAGATAATAATGGAGTCTAGTTAATAGGTTTAGAGTCCTGACAGAAGGAGAATATAACACTTGTAGATGCAGTTCTACTTCAGTGACACGATTATTCTACAATATATATTGTACAATATTGACTCTGGGTAAAAATCATGTCAGCTTGTATCTTCTGTCTAGCACAATCAAGTCAACTAGTAACAAAATGAGTCTCTGGTACTTATATTCATCTAGATGCATCCAACTTATTGGAAAAATCAAGTGACTGCAATCATAACAAGGCTAGTGCACCTCGACACTCCTCGCATTATTAGTCGCATGGGCAACACTCGAAACCCAATCGTCCGCCTTCTCATCAACCTGATTCAACCCCCAAGCCGTCGGGCTATCATCATGCACAGTCGTCCTCCTCAAATCCCGAATATACTTCCCCTCGAAGCTTCCGCCCGTCGCGCGGTGCAGCACGCAGCGATTGTCCCAGATGATCATGTCCCCAGGATTTTCCCACACGATGCTGGTGACGTACTTGTCCTGCGTGACATGTCTCATCAGTGTATCCAGCAGCTGCTGCGATTTCTCAGGCGAGACGCCCTCAATATGATGGCAATGGGCAGCAATATACAAATTCATCCGCCCACTCGGTTCATGGCGCTGGACGATGCGATGACGAGCCATCTTCTCCCTGGCCGCGTCCAGGTCTTTAAAGAATTCCGGAGACGCGACTTTGCGCGAATGCGCGAGACAATGCGCGCCGACATAGTCGTTTTCTAGCAGTTCTCGGGCTAGATCTTTGGGCAGTTCCTCGAAGGCAGTACGCGAGTCTGCGAAATCGGTATTGCCCCCGTTGCCAGGTGGCGGGAGCTGCACGGCGCGAAGCAGCGAGTATGATGCGCGGCGGGGATTGAAACTCGAATCGACGTGGAAGAGAGCATTTCCCTACAAACACAAAAAAAATAAGCAAAAATACTCAAATATCAACTCAACACGCAGTGAACCTCTCAGAAAGTATGTGTCTTACCCTCCCATAATGCGCCCTCGGACTCTCCGGATCCAGCACATTGCCATTCTCATCCACATTCCCGGCATCAAAAAGCTCGTAGTGCTTGTACCGCGGTTTGCGACCACCGACCATGTACCGCCTGATATTGTCAAGCTCGCCGAAGCGGCGCGAGAAAGCGATATGCGATTCGTCGTCGAGGCCGGTGCGGCGGAAGACGCAGACGCCGTACTGCGTGCACCACAGAGATTAAAATGGGATGTTTCTAGCGAAGGGAAGGGAGGTACACACCTTCGCCAGCGCAGCCCGGATCTCGTCGAAGGTCTCGTCAGAAAGGTTGGAAAAGTCGACGCCTTGGATTTCGGCGGCGAAGGTTGGGTGGAGGGGTTTGACGGTGATGGTTTTGAAGGTGGTGTCCATTCTGTATATACACAGTACAGTCTAACTCTGATAAGATATGATGGATGACAGCAAGTCAGAATCTACGAGATGCTGAAGTTCAAATATATATCTACCGACAAACACGCGAACGTCTTCTTTTTCTACAGTGGTGTAACATTTCTTATATTATCCTCCGAGAGGGGAAGCATGTGGGGCTAGGTGGAGGATGACAAATGATAGTTTCTACGAGAGCGTTAATATATATATATCTGAAAACCGGGATGCGGATCGATCGGGATAGGAGAGCCCCAAGTGTGGGGAAAGCTGGGGTTGACTACGGAGTATTTTGCCAGAAGTCAGCATGACATGACGCATTGATGCTGACAAACAGGAGTTTTATTCGATGGTCGTAGTAAATTAAATGTAATACGATAGGCTGGTAATGTTTATACTACGCTTTCTCTCCTAAGTAGTATGGATTGCTCATGTTCTCTATCTTCATTCTGTACAGGAATTAGTGTGGTTATTGCATGACCAAGCGATATTTATTTATGTACTGTTTATATATTTATACAGCTAAGTTATTGCGGCGGCTGCCCGTTCCCAACCTGCCCCGTCGTCGTATAGTTCCCAAAGCAAGCTTGCTGATACATGGCCTGCTTCTTCAGCGTGGGCACGCCGCTCAGAAATTTCTTCACCGGACAGAAACCATCCTTAACGCCCTCGCAGCCAACCAACCCGTCGAGCGGCACCGGGGCGCCGTTCAACACAAACCGGATATAATCCGTGGTGTCGTTCTGGGACGAGAGGTCGGGATTTTCGTACAGCACCGGGTCCAGGTCCGTGAAAGACTTCCTCTCGCTGGGGCAGGTCCAAATCTCGGAGATGAAGCGCGCGCCGAACGGGGTGATTTGGTTCAGGTGGAACGTCGTGTTGACGGCATGGTCGACGTCGCCGGGGAGCCCGTGGTTGCCATACTTGAAGTAATTCAGGCCCAGAGCGGTGATGACGGAGACGATGATGTCGTCATGCGACATGTCCATGTAGAACGGCTGCTCCAGGGGGAACTGGGCGGTGTTGTCGTCGTAGGTGTAGTTGATGCTCGTGTCGCTGGAGTAGATCAGCTTGTGCTGCAGGCGAGCGGCAAGCTCCAGCACGTATCCAATGCCCTGGGCGCGGCCGGACGTGGCGCCGTAACCGTAGTCGCCGTAGAACTGGATGTCGATGGCGTACTGGAAGTCGCGCCATTCCTGCTCGGTAAAGAGCGAGCAGAAAGAGGAGGCGCTGAAGGTGGCGTATTCGTACGCGCAGAGATTCTGCATGGCGTAGACGTCCATCCCAGTCAGATTGAAGCCGGCGGGGAGGAAGGCGGACAAGCGGGCGTGCGCATTTTTCGTATACCGCGGAATAAACACTTCAGCGGTCGAGTCCCTACATCATTGTCAGCGAAAGTACAGATTACGCCACGATGATAATCACCCACCCCGCAAACGGATCATCCGGGCACGACTCGTAGGAAGCCAGGGTGTTGTTGAACGGGTCGACCTCGGGAATAATAACGAGGTCGTACTGCGAGTAGGAGCTGTTGGCGCCGACGTTGCCAAAGAAACCACTCAACCACCATCTGGCGCTCTCGAGAATTCGAGCCTGCGAGGTCGTGCGGAACACAGGCTTGGGGCGTGCCGTGCCATTGGGGAAGACATTCAGCTCGGGACTCCAGGCGGAGACACCAGGACCAGCACGGTACAGCAGACGGCCGTACTTGGCCCAGAAGTCGGCACCCGAGGTAGCTTCAGTCGCAGCGCCCGTCTCGAGCAGCAAGTCTGTGCCCAGCTGGTATTTCCAGTGGTTCAAGAAGGCCAGAGGCCCCGTGCCAACGGGCTCCCCAGGATGGGCGGCGGAGTAGTTGGAGAGCTTGTAGGCAAAGTTCTGCATGCCCTCGCCGTCCAGCGGGTAGGCCGTGGGATAGCGCTGGGCGTGGCGGTGCAGGACATGGACCTGCGACAGCTCGCAGTCGGAGGGCACGCCCTTGGGCAGGCCAAAGCCGGGTGCGTCTTTGTACGGACTCAGATTGCCCCAGCTGGACGTGATGTCGAAGCCAGAGGCGTACGTCGCGCCCGTCGGGGCAGAGGCGGGGGCGGACGACGCGCGTGCAGCGAGCGCATCGCCGGCCAGCGAGGCCGCAGCAAGCAGCGCTGCAGAGAAGTAGCTGCCCAGCTCCCTCATCTGGCGAGATTTAGCTGAAATGAACAGAAACGAAGCAATTGGCGAGAGTTTTGCTGCGAAGTTTTTCGTCTTATATTCGCTGCACCTGATCGCCTGCCGGATCTGGTTAGCGCCACGGACGTTACATCGCGTTTCCCGATGCGGAAGGCGCGCATCTTATCACCGATCGGGAAGGAGCGACCCGCGTCGTCCCTCGCTCCTGCCGAAAGCGACGCGATAAGGAAGCAGCCAATCACAGCGCTGATTCTGCCGATTACTCCTGGCTAATGCGGACGATCGGATTGGAAGACATTACGGCGTACGGAGTATTCGGATATCTCTGATGCAGAATGACTGATACAACACAATTGTCATTTCTAACTACATGAATCGACCATCTACCAGCACTGCTTGTCTAGTACGGCGGCAGGCCCAGCGCTTCACGACGCGACTTGGACGCCGGATCAAGATATGGCCGCTCGCCGACGCCTGACGAGCGAACGCCCGTGCGGTTGCCGCTGACGAGGTGGACGTCGGGCTGGTAATAATACTAATGTTAGTCGAGTATTCCCAGGCTAACTGAGTCTGTATCTGACTGAGCTGATACGTACCGTCGCAGCATGCAGCGTGCACGCGTTGCTCCAGATGGCCACCGCCTGCTTGGTCCAGTGCATCCGCGCCACGCAGTCGTGGTTGCGCGTAATCAGCCGCAGGATGTACTCGCGGATCATCTGGTCCTCGTACGAGTAGACGTCGTTGATCCTCGACACATGCAGCCCGACGCCCGCGAAGACCGACTTCCAGCCCGTCACCGGATGCGTGCGGATGACGGGGTGCACCGGCGCGAACTTGTCGCCGACATTCAGCGGAGAGCCGCGCGGCGACATGATCTCGTAGCCCCCGGCCTCGGCGGCGCTGCGGAAGACGGGCTGCGCGCACGTCGCCGTCAGCGTCTCCAGCCAGCGCCGGAAGGGCGGCGACATGCGGTCGTACCTGTCGAGGTTAGCAGGATCGATCGAGCTGTCTGTCTGCTAGGGAACTTGCAGTTCATAGCCCGACACCCAGAGCGTGTCTCCGCCCGAAGGAGGAGTCTGTTCCATGCGCAGGAAGCTGAAGTCGGCCGGACATTCTTCGAAAAGGCCTGTTATGGTCAGTCGAGTCCTCCGTGCTCGTGAACAAGCTTACAATCGCTGTGCCATTCTCGCCCCAAGTCTCGCGGCTCCGTTGCCGGCGTGCGGTTCTTCATCGTGGCATACAGCTTCTTGGTGGCTGCGTCGTTGATCACGTAGCTGGACAGATCAGTACGAGTCTTCCCTCGAGCAAATTGCGAAACGCACATATTCTCATCCGTCGTGCCATCCTCCATGGTAATGTTGTTCGGATCCCGGTACAGCGGATGCACATGCAGCCCGTGCTCCTTGGGCCTCCCCGTCAGCTCGCCCAGCATCAGGGTGATGCGCTTCTGCTCCGCGATGGTGAGGTCGTCCTGCGGCGCGCGGAAGAAGACGACGCCTCGCTCGCAGATGGTGATGGCCAGGTCGCGGATCTGGTCCTCGGCGTTGGGCGCGTACAGCATGTCCTTGAGCTTGGCCGTGGGGTACTCGCGCCCGATGATGGGCGTGACGTCGAAGTATTCCAGATGGTCGATGGAACCGGAGTTTTTGAGCGGCTGGCGGCGCAGTTCGCCGTTGCCGTCGGGTGTGTAGGAGCCCATGGTAAGATCTAGTAGTGAAATCGACGTCGAAAGAAGAATGTTCTGTGTATATTTGTACGTACCTATATGCTTGTTTCTTCTCTGGTGCTGATCTGTCGACCTGCAAGGAGGACCCGGCTTATATATCCTATCCCTTCGACAGCATCTTCGCTCATCAGCATGACAGCATGACGATATGCTGAATCGGCATTTCGACCTCTCTCTCTGCCGGGCCCCGCTCATCCCCCGCAACATGGAAGCGGACTGCCGAAAATCCGGGGAAATTAGTCGATGATGACAGGCCTATCGTATCCAGACACGAACGGCGTCCGCTGTTTCAGCGCATGCCAGACCCGGGAAATTCCCTGTTCTCCACGTGATGTGGGGCGTCGGCAGTTGTATCTCATCGAGAGAGATTCTGTCAGCTTGTTTTAGCTTTCCCAACGGGAAATTAGCGCTGCGTGGCTGCGATGAAGTTGTGGGGTAAACTTTGTGACTCCATGACAGGTTTGCTGTCTGTCGAACTATGGATCAGCCAAGCAGACTTCCAAGGCGTCAATGACAAATGTCTCCTGTTGACTTGCTGCATCGGCTGAATGCGAACGACCAACTGCCGAAGCCATGCTTGTTGTCATCTCACGTAAAACGTCAGACTGGAAATCCCCCGGCTGAATCTGCACGGTCAACCGGTTCGATTCGAAACTTGCGGGGTCTGGAAATCAATTGCCTAATTGGTGTAGCCTCCAGATCGTCTTCGTTCAGTCCAAGCTCCAGATTGGACGCCTAGCAATGCGCAGTCCGCTGTCGAAACTGGGGCTAATAGCCTGTTTTATATAATTGCTCGATCTCGGTTTTCAAATCCCTGTACGTGTCTACTGCTCTGTCGGTGAACATTGCAGAGTGTAGTATACCTTGATTTACCTGAATCGGATACTTAGTTTTACAGTGCAACATGCAACCCGCCCAGATCACTGCCAATCCCCTCAAACTCGACGTGCGGAGCCACGTCAAATGTCTTCTCATCTGCTCCTTCATCACCATGGCGACATTTCAATATGGTCAGTAATCACGATCTGCTTCTGGCTGAGCTCAATTGACGTCTTTAGGCCTTGACTACGCACTCGTCGGTGGCTTCCTCTCGTGAGTGAAGACGATCCATTTCTGTCATTCTAAACTGATACGCTTCAGCATGCCGGGTTTTCTCGAGGTTTACGGCTATTACTCGCCGAAGCTGAAGGCGTGGAATATCGACGTAAGACAGATATAGTTCTTACTTTCGTGGTGATCGACTAATCCTCATGTCGTTTAGCCCACGGTCCAGCAGCTCATTTCCTCCCTCATGACCATTGGCACCTTCGTTTCGTCGCTGCTGGTCGGCCCTCTCAGCTCCAAGGTCGGCCGACGAGGCGGTTTATGGGCCGCCGCCATCCTGAACGCGATTTCGACCTCGATCATGCTGGGCACGACGAGCGTAGGAGCGCTCTACGTCGCGCGGCTCATTCTGGGTATGCTATCCCCTGGACATATTTTCTTCTATGAACTCAGGCTAATGCGATCCCAGGCATCGCCGTCGGATGGTACCTGACCTTCGGACAACTCTACCTCTACGAAGCCGCCCCGGCGCATCTGCGCGGCATCGTCATGGGCATCTACCAGATCATGCTCTCGGTCGGATCCGTCGTCGGCGCCAGCGTCGACTACGGCACGCACACGATCAACAGCAAGCTGGCGTACCAGATCCCGCTGGCCGTCTTCTTCGTCGCGCCGACCATCCAGTCCGTGGCCATGATCTTCTTCCCCGAAAGCCCGCGCTGGCTCATGGTGCAGGGCAGGGAGAAGGAGGCCGAGATGGCGCTGCGCCGGCTGCGCAATTCCGCCATTGACGAGCGCGAGCTGCAGGCCGAGTATAACGAGATCCGCGAGTCGACGCGGGAGCAGGTGCGCGCGAACAGGAGGCATCTATTTCTGGAGATGTGGCGGGGCACGAATCGTCGACGGTCCCTGCTGTCTATTGCTGTCGTGTGCTTCCACAGTGCAAACGGTGCGTCTAGTCTAGCCTACTAGATACTACCTACTCCTACTAGATGTCATAGACTGACAGCAATCAGGCTCCTCATGGGTCAACATCTACACGACGTACTTCCTGACAATGGCCGGGGTGAAGAATTCCTTCGGCTTCTCGATCATGATCACCTGCATGGGCCTGCTGGGCGTGATATTCAGCCTGTTCATCGTGCGCGTCGTCGACCGGCGCACCATTATCCTGTGCGGCTGTCTGGCATGCGGCATCTTCCAGCTCATTCCTGCGATCGTGTGGAGCGCGAAGCCGGGCAGTCCGGAATCTGGCAAAGTGGTCGTTGCGTTTATTGCGCTGTTTACTTTTGCGTATGTTGCGTATGGTGAGTATCCATCCCCTAGACATACATACACATATTGGCAATCCCATTAATTCGTTTACAGCACCAACCGCCTGGCTCCTCGGCGGTGAATACCCCAACAACCAACTCCGCCCGATGACCTTCGGTCTCGCAACAGCAATGAACTTCCTCCTCAACTGGGTCGGGACATACACGGCGCCGTACTTCATCAACCCGGCCCAGCTGGGCTGGAGCGCCAAGTACGGATACATCTGGTTCGGGTCGAACATGGTGCTCGTGCTGTTTGTGCTGTTCTGCTTGCCGGAGACGCGCGATCGGACGCTTGAGGAGATTCATGAGATGTTTGAAGCGGGGATTCCGGTGAGGGAGTTCAAGACGTATGTCTGCACGGGGGTGGAGGCGTATCGGGCGCAGGGGGCGGAGAGGGCGGGAGTTGTGATGAAGGAGAAGGAGGAGGCGGTTACACATATCGAGAGGGTTTGATTATATTTAGCTGAAATGAGCAATTTATCTACTATCTGTCATCGAATAAAATCATGTTGTATATAAACCTGAGGATTTATATCGTCCCGGAATTGTATTCTTGTATCATACTGAAAGTGGAAACTGATGCATCCTATATACTGACTCACGATTCACAATTCTGCTCATGAGACAGTAGAGCTACGATCGAGGTATAATCCTACATTGTATCCATCTATTCGACCAGATCATCCTCCAAACTGCTCAGAAATATCGAGACTATCCATGATCCACCCTCTGCTCTGCTCCACGAACCCAGCCCCACGTGTCGATGATCAGACCCCACGAGGACTGGCTTATACCGGACACCAATCCGTTCTTTTGACTTTGCTGTCGATGAATGATTCCGTGCGTAGAAACTAAGCCTGCTGGCCGCTAGGATCCCGCGGGTTGGAAGGTTGAATGAAGTCTACGAATAGGATTTTATGCCGACGATACGATACGGTTTGGAAGAGGTTCTGGCAAGTCTATACATTGGAGATGATTGATAGTTTGGACTTGATGCGGATGTATATTTCCTGATACACGATTCGCATTCTGGAAGCAAATACCCGTACTCCGTACGCACTATCTATTTCTCTCAGGGCAAGAATGGTAATAATTGCATGCAATCCACCAGGCTGTGCTATATAAACAGTCTAAGTGATGTTAAATGACATCACGCATAATCCACCAACCTGACATCCTTGATCAACCCCCTAAAACCACCCCCCCCAATCGTCGCCAGCGGCGCCTCGATCGCTATCGGCGCCCAGACAAAGTACTCGCCGTCGATCCCCAGCTTGGCCAGGAACTCCAGCTCCGTTCCGTTGCCGACGCCGAAGAACGTCCGGTTCCCCCGTCCGATGAGGCTGGCGTGCATCCATGTGTTCCGCGGGAGGGAGTAGTTCAGCGCAAAGGCGTTACCGGCTGCCACGAGCATGATCTCAGGAGACGTGCCGTTGCCGGAGAGTAGGGCAGAGTCGGGGCCGGTAAACAAGGCGCCGGTGGTGTTCGCTGTCGGAAACACGGAGAAGGAAAGCGTGTAGTTCCTGCCCTTGGATCCCAGCGGCGTGGAGACGGAGCACGACGGGGTCAGGGAGACGGCGGAGTTGGCAATAGAACAATTAGTCGTAGCATCGTAGCCGTTGCCGGAAAGATCCTTGACCTTGGACGAGCCGTCCGTGAAATCGTATTGCACGATGGTGCTGGATTTGGAGGGAATGGCGCGGTCGAGATTCTGCGCTGGGACTGCCGCGTGCAGCCGGTCGAAGATGTCCGCGTACTCGTCCTCGAGCAGATCGCCGCCCCATTGCTTGTCGGCCAGGGCAGGGAGGCCGTTGCGCCAGGCATAGTATGCCTCGCTGTAGGTCGTCGCGTTGGGGCCGTCGTCGTTCCACAGCGCGGCGACATGGCCCAGCACGGCGGGATTGTCGCGCTGGGGGTTGTTAGACGCGTTCCTGGTGTCGAAGATGTACGGCGCATAGGGCCCGCCGTCAGGCGCGCCGTGGAAGATGCGTGTGATATTCAGCTCCTGCGGATACGAGGCGGAGTACTTGTTGACGATGTAGAAGGCGTCGTCGGAGTTGAGCACACTGTAGCCGTTCATGATGTAGTCCCAGTAGGGGTTCGCCTCAAAGAACTCCCAGTGCTGGATCGAGACGTTCTTGTCGACGTTGGTGCCGTTGGGCGAGGGGGGGAATGTACCCCAGATGCGGACGGCCTGGCCGGTGCGGTTGGTGATGAAGGCGTTCATCGAGTTGACGAAGTAGTTGTATTCGTCGACGAGGGCGCTGGAAGCGTTAGAAGAAGAATGAACAGACGCTGGGTGGAAAGTAATGCTTACTCCTTGCTCAGAGCCGCATCCACGTATTCATCCGCGCCAATGTGCACCGTCTTACTGTGAAACCACGGCAGAAACACGCTCCAGATGCTCTGCACCGTGGGTATCGTTTCCGGATAGCTGATGTTCAGCAGGCTGATGTCGCTGGAAATCGCCAACTCGGGCTTCCACTGCGTGATGACCAGCGCATGGCCGGGCGATTCGATCTCAGGCACGATGGTCACGCCCCGCGCCGCACATTTCTGCTGGATATCCTCAAACTCGCTGCGGGAGTAGGACTCGTTGGCGCGCCTGTTGAGACCAGCAACAGCAGGGTCGTCCGAGTTGGGCCGGAAGGCGGCGTACAGGTCCAGGCTCTGCTGGCGCGTGTAGTTGGGGTTGTTGTAGAGGTTGTCGCTCAGATGCACGTGGAAGGTGTTCTGCTTGAAGAAGGAGAGATACGAGCAGATTTCCACGAGGAATTCTGGCGGGTAGTAATGGCGTCCAGCGTCGAGCATCGCGCCTCGAATGCCCCAGCCCGGCGCGTCCGTTCCAGAGCCCACGGGCAGCTTCCCATCGCCCAGCGCTGCTTGCTGCAGAATTGTCCTCGTTCCCCACCAGACGCCTAGAGGGCTGGCTCCGGTGATGGTGACGTCTCGATCGGTCACGGAGAGCGTGTAGCCCTCGGACGTTGGGCGACCAGCTGCGTCGAGAAAGTCCTTCGCATCGCCCAGCGTGAGGAAGATCGATCCGGGAGAAGCCTCGCTCCCGAGAGAAACGGGGACATCGCCAACGTAGGGATGGAGATCCTCAGCGAAAGTCTCAGCGAAGGCGTGCAGCGAGGGCGGAATCAGCGTCGTGCCATTGAGATCGGTGGCATTCGCATATCTGCTGTCGACGACGATGGCGTTAACGGATTTGAGGACGAATTTAGACGGGGAGGAGATGTTGAATGGAACGGTGGGAATTCCCACGAGGCGGGATGTGGCTGGTGCTGCAATTGAGAGGAGTAATAGGGCTGAAGAGAGAAGGCTTGAGACGAACATTGTGAGCTGGAGTAGTCGGTGTTCCTCTAGTCATGTAGATACATACTTTTATGAAGTCATAAATATATATTTCTACGCATGTTGCATTCCACAAGAGATAGATAGACCAGGGTTACATGGTACCACCGGCAATACAAAGTGCCAATTGACTAGCAACCTATCAACCTACCTTCTTACCTAGCTAGCCAGCTAAGCAGGCAGCTAGCTAGGAACATCTCCATCCTATCCAGGAAAAGAAAGACCCGCCGTCAATCATCAATCTCGTCGGTGGAAAAATATCGAGCATTGGCAATGTCATTATTCCAGTTATTCCATGCGGGGTTTGAGTCTTGACTCGCTCCGCTTATCGTCCAGTGTCAATCTTTTCCCCGTTTGGGAAATAGAAATTGCGTCTAAAGGTCTGGACTAGGCTGAATGGGGTATCGTCGCGAGGACGGGTTCGAATAGTGCTGCATGCTGGACGGAGTATTATTATTTTTATTATCGTGCGTCGATACGGATTTGCGTTGCCGGCCGATTTTTGAGATATCGTCGAGTACTTATCAACAAACAAGGTAATTAGAGTAGCTATCTCTGTCAAAGGACAAGGAGAAACTGTCCCACTGACATGGAATAAATATATCATGCACAGACGAGCAGCCCCTCACTAATCCAAAGTTCAGGAACCGGTTCCATAACTCAGAAAGAAGCTGTCATACTAGACGGAAAATCCATGTTGCACGATACATACATACATCGAGTCATGTTGGCGAGAACGCTGGAATGACATGGCACTGATTGTGCACGAGTCTGCTCAGCGGCAGGATGAGTATCGACCTGCAATGTGCTGACAATCGAGAATTGTGTCTTTCTTTCTTTCTTTTTGCATATTTCTACAGTACATACAGGACTGCTATAGTTTCAAAAAAAAATTGACCAAGTCACTTACCACGGCAGATATCCTGTACTATCTGCGGGAAAAAAAAAACGGTCAGTCACTATGCGATGGGGGAAATATTAAATATAAATCGTCGCATTTTCGAGAAGGAAATCACAGTTAAGAGGAGCATTCCTGCTAGAGAGGAATGATACATGTAATCATGTATATTAGAATGTTTCCAGATAGAAGATACTAAAGTTTTATCTTGAAAAAGTACATGTAGTGAGTAAGGAGTTGTAGCGATGTATGTATTTTTCGAGTCGTCTCTCTCCTTAGATGGAAAGGGCTATAGAAGTAAGTACATGTGGGTAATATTTCTCCAAAACTTATTATCCCTAATAAATGCCGATTTTCAGAGACGTCTTCCCAAACAGACTTTTATTGATATGAATTATCGGATCTAACCCTACCAATTAATCAACTATTTCAAACCTGGCACCCCATACGGCAAACAACCGAATCCTTCTCGTGACTCATGAAGTTCTTCCACACAGTGGTAAACCCTGATAGTAGCTAACAGACCTGATATAGTCTGCACAGCAAGGTAGGTAATTTATACAGGTTAACTCCGAAGATTATGTCGTGTTAATTAGAACACGATTCAGTCATCACTTCTCTGGAATCTTCTTTCATTCGCGTAGACCAGACCTCATTATACCCCTCATGGCCAATAATCTGTGCTTAGATGGTGAAGATGACATTCCAGCTTCTCCAGGTGATAGTTATCCTCTCGCTGAAATGAAAACAGAAGGGTTCTGTCAGCTATATCAGGATACACATTTTAGGGAATTATTGATAGACAATTTGTGTTCTGTGCGGATGAAATTGGGTATTGTTCTGGATAGGTAGTCTTCTATCTGCTGTGACCTCATACAAGAGTTCTAGCCTTTGCGAATCTCATGGGAGGACAGTATGTCTCTGATTCTACTTTAGTATATTCTGCTTCGATTCGATTAATCTATTCTAGAACATTTCCATAGTTTGATATTTATGAGCATATTTAAGCAAGCCAGAGTCATATAATTTGCCGAGAATTCTCCTGACACAAAATTATGTAGCAGACTTTAAGGGTTTATGTAGACATGTATGTAGCATACGAAGATCAGACACACAAACAAGTAGACTCATCCTTAGAATAGCCTTAGCGTATGCAGCTAGTCCAAAAAAAAAAAGCTAGGTAGAAAGGGAAACGCCATGACGGCCGCAAAGTTAGCGCTTGAAGGTAACCAAGTCTCAGCGTAGGCAGTAATACGCAGAATACAAGATCATGGGATGTTAGCGGAGCTGGAGTGGTCTCGCTGTCGTATCATTAAACTCCAAAAATGAATATAGACGAGACGATTCCAGAACAAATATCATTCCAATTACGGAGATTGCTACGGGTCACTTAGTCCATGCCAACCACATGGCAAAAACAGCCACCAACCAGCGTCCTCAGCTGGTGATATGCAGGCCACTGCAGTCCACGTGTCTTTTGATAACGACAGCACGTGCGCACAGGAACGGTTAATTATTGAGATCTGCGATGATCTGACGTCGTTGGATGGACAGGATGGATGGATCTTGTATTGCGATTCGGCATCTATTCCTGAACGAGGAAGGATGTGCAGGCGTTCAGATCTGTGCTTGAATATAGACTTTGCTGTATATGCGGGATGAATGGGATTGAATAGGATTGGATAGACTATGCTGGTTGGTTACTTTAGAAGCTGTTCGACCTTCTCGAACTGTTCTTAGCGTGTTGTCTGTGCTAGTTGTACAGTATGTACTGTACATACTCGACGCGATGACTTGCAATTGATATCTCCAACTTGCTCATCTCCCTTTAGTATAAGGAAATACACTTTTTCGCGGACAAATGCACGCAAGCGCATGTGATTGGTCAGTTTTGCTTAGTCAGCACCCGTCTGTAGTTCTTATGTAAGCATATAAGGATAACTTAACTAGTTAGTTACTACAACAAAACTGGGAACCGCTGCCTTAGATATAGGCTTTGCAGTGCCTCCCTTATAGGCCTACAGGCTTTATAGTGGCATCCCTGTAGGCTTTACAGTATCTCCCCTATAGGCTTTACAGGGCTTCCCCTATAGGCTTTATATAAGCTTATATTATAGGTATGTGGAAGGCTGAAGGTCCGGAGCATTTAGGTATACTAAGCTTCGTGTTAGGTTTAGTATAGGCTTTGTAATCCCCTATAAACTCCCTTATGGGCTTTATAGTGCCTCCCTATAGGCTTTGTATTAGCTCCATATAGGCTCCCTTATATAGGCTTCATATAAGTCTATGTTACAGGCATGCGGAGGGCCGAAGGTCCGGAGCATTTACAGGCATTAGTAAGCCTAGGTAGTCTTCCCCCTTCAAGCCTGGACGAGCGGAGCGAGTCGTTGAGGGCTTGTATACTGTAGCTAATTGAGAACCAGATGATATGCACTGTAATGCGTAACTGTACTCGTTCAATCGTATATACTCATGTCTGTATGTACATGTAGTCGTGGCCACATCTCATGATTTATGTATGTATGTACATACACATGGTTTGTGTCGAACGGCTGAACAAGACAAGATGTTTCTTCATATCAACAGGTCGATGCAGCATTCAAACATACTGGACGACCACCTCGTCGCCCGACACCGACACGTCGGTCAAAACCTTGCCGTTCTGCTCAATGTCGATGATGGTCGCACCCGACGGCCCAACGCTCGAGCCGCCGTCGGTGGCCGAGGCGCCAGTGAAGGTGACGGTGCCAAAGTTGGCAAAAGGCACGAGGCTGTTGCCCTCGGAGAAGTCCTCGACGATCCACTCGGCGTTGTACTCGCACAGATGGGCCGACTCGCCGCTGAAGCTGTGCGTGACGGTCTGGCCGGTGGAGACGTTCTCGACGGTGGCCGTGCCGGCGCTCGTGCTCGTCGCGTCGACGGTCACCTTGATGGTGTTGCCGGCGCTGACGGAGATGCCGCTGAAGTCGTACGCGTAGTCCGGATACCACTCGTACCAGGCGTCGTACGAGACCTGGCCGTCCTGGACGCAGAAGTCGACGCCAGTCTGCAGGATGGCGCTGGTGCAGGTGTTGCCGTCGAGACCAACCCAGGCGGAGGCGCAGTACTGCGTGCCAGACGAGCCGCCAGAAGGCGCCGAGGGCGTGGGCACGACGAACTCGGCCGTCACAGAGGTGTAGCCGGTGCCGACGAGCACGGCGCCGGCCCAGTTGCTGCTGTACTCGACGTGCTTGTTGTTGGGGCCGTCCACGGTGACATTGGTCTTGAAGGGCGGGTTGGTGTGACGGTTGCGAACAGCTCGACGAGCCTCGTACGCAGCGCGGCGCTTCTCAGTTAGGGGGGCAGCGACTGCGAGGCTCGAGAGCAGCAGAGTGCTGGCGAGGGTAGAGAACTTCATCTTGAATGCGGTAGACGGATGTATAGAATGAGCCACAATGGAGGAGAACTGCTGATGATCTTGAGGATGAACTGCAGAACCAGCGGCGATGTCCTCCCTTTTATAGGCGCAGGCCTCTGGATACAGGAAATCTTCACACGATGTCCCGCAGGTCCAGCCATTGCTATCAGGGATAAAGTTGCGATCACCTGCCTGAACGAGATAGTGTCTGGCCGGATGATGGCTGCTGGCGTGTCGATCAGCATCTCATGCTGGCTCTGGTGGGAGGCCAATGCATCTAATGCGCCTAGTCTGTGTGCCAGCATGCTGCTAATACCACCCTTCTATCAGAGCTAATTTGCACATTGCTTGGCATGTTGTCTGGTTAGAAACTCATAGAGTAGTTAACATCCAAAGACTCTGTCCTTGGATATACGGAATTGGGAGAGGCTCCTTCTACCAGTCTCTTTCTCACGCTGTGCTGTCCTCATGATGGTGACTCTACTGGAATATTGCAACGGCCGTAGCGAACAGTAGCATGCCAAGATCCAGCTACTTCAGCCACCTCGGGACAAGCAACAGACGGCTGGCTGGGCACGCGCTAGGGACGCTTCCTCTGTCTATTGCCATGTTTTGCGTGATGAGAATCCGGGGTCCGGTGACGCCGAGTCTCGGCAGGCAATGCTTAGCAACGGGTATCCAAGGGGCGGATCGAGGATTGCACGATGCCATGGCTGGCCAGCGGAGATGCCGTGAATGGCGATGATAAGCTTGAGATCAAGGCTAAATGAGATTATACCGACGAGGCGTCAGGAATGACAGATTATTGGCTGCAATGCCGGCACTGGCAGACTAGATGCCGAGATGAAGCCCGACGAGGCAGAAGCTGGCTGATAAGCCACAGCATCGTTCTTGCTGGTTGCTCAAATGTAGGTACCCCGCATGTGCTCATGGATTAAATCGCAATCTGATGCCTGCATAGCGTGCAAGGTGACATGGTATACTCCCATCAGCTGTTATTAATCTTCTGGCCGGTATACGTAGGTGAGGTGGTCCGTGTCGAGCTATTGCTTAGTGTCTCCTAGACTGACTTTATTGCCATTAGGCTGGCAAGCAGGATGCCACTCCATAATCTAGGACGCCGGAACAGGCTAAGCTGCCATCTTTAATCAGGGCCTAGACCCTCAGACATAATTACCGACGATAGTCCGCGATTGTTACCCATCCGAACATCCTCACTGGCCACGTCGAGTGATAAGCTGCTGCGAGTGAGTAGTTATTACCCCGCTCATGCCCTAGCCAGAATGCCATCGTCTGTCATGCCAAGACTGTTATTTCCCTGATGTGTGTACATACGCGTACATGTATGTACAGGACATGTACTCCTACGGAGACCTCCGGACTCTTAGTAACGATATTTAGAGCACTAAGCCCCTGCGTGTCATTTCTAATAATTTATCCAACGCCACAGCCGGAGCTATCCGAGCTTGACTACGCTCCGGGGGATGGAAATATCCCGAGTATACAGCTTGTGGCGCGCTGTGGCGGCGCCTTGCGTTAGGCGTTGCTACATACCCCTCATGAGTTTATGACGATTGAATGTATACCAATGGCCTACACAGTTAAAGGATCCATCAGCTCACACGAGTAGCTTTATGGCGCAATATTCGCAATTTCCTTTCTTTCTTTTGTTTTCTTTGGTTTTCTTCGTCGAGTACTAAGGTCCAGAATGATTCGCGATAAACGACATGTAACTCTGAGAGCGTATCACAAGACCGTGCCGTGTGATGGCATTGAAGATAGCATTGATCAAGCGGGTTGTATGTACAGTACATAGTTTGTCAGTTAATTCCCACTGGGCAACGATAACTTGGGCCGTTCTCGTGAATTGTGGTTACAGTCATACTGTTTCTCTTTCCAATCACGGCTCACCTGGCCCGTCATCATCCTGGAAGGCAGGACAGATGGCAGTACCTCCGCTCAAATAACGTTGCAATGAACTAACTCTTTTAATTCAACAATATTCTTTCTCAAAAGTCGTTAATAAGTCATTATTCATCAATCTTTTTCTTAGGCGGTATCTTGCAGCGCGAGCGCTAAATATGATAAGCTCATTCACTTTTATATAATGTGACAGATAAGCTCTCTCAAAGAGCCAGAGTTGCTATAATAAATTCGAAATATGAGATTATTTCCTTGGATGATGTTTCTTATAGATATGGTTATATTTAACATCCTCCCATTGTTTTTTCAGCCTTGGAAGCTGTGACTAATAATAATTAATTGTCTTATATCAGACTTGGACTCTGGATTTATTTTTACTATTAAATGTTACATGTCTTTTTCCAGATCATTTAGCTTCGTAAGAATACAGAGTGTATAGCTTCCTATGACATTTCAAGTAATTATTAGCGATGGATTTCTAATTAAACCAGTCACCAAGCAGATCTAGAAGAGATGCCGGACTTACTAGCCAGTTCCCAATGAGGATATAAGAAATGATATTGCATCACATCCTCCAGTCCCTCGCTTTGCTTGGGCGCAAAGTATTATATAAAATTACTACTAATACGCCTTATACCCCCCGCCCTCCAGGAGATGAACACATACCTACTATTACTACCTAAAGCTCATATACTAAAGCCCATAGTAAAGAGCCTTATACGTAAATGTTCCAGAGCTTTGGCCCTCCACATGCCTGCAATGTAAGCCTATGGCGTCCAGCCAAGCAATTTTTTTTAGTAGCAACGGGGGAACGAGGTTCCAATACTGCAATTAGGCGATGAGCGCAACGCAGTCTCAATCTTACGGACTTTCAATGTTCATATTTTAGAGAGTGTACAGTATTGAAGTACAGCGCCAAGGTGCATTGAAGTTGAATGTAGTACTCACAGAGCAGGTTCACAGTATGCGTGTGCAAGCTATCTTACGAAAAGTGAAGTAATTGTCTAGGCGATCCTGATACTAGTCCAACCCTCGCTAAGCCGTGTTAATTGCCATCCTGAAGCTAGTGTCGTAACCACTCTTCAGGACCGATTTTCAGAAGTTCATCATACCGATGGCTTGCCAACCAAGTCTCCGCAGGAATCGCAACGCCACGTGAAGCATAAAATTCAGTCAGAATTTCGTTAAACACTAAACACTGCTCAGCAACTTTTATTTCTCAAGGTATATATAAACGCACCATGCAAGTGCATAGGATATGCTGGCTGCAGCTCGAAATGAGTGTCGGCTAGGCGGAACAGAATCAAAGATCGCGGTAGAGGAGTTCCTGATCCAACCATGAGATTAGAACTACCGTATAAATGACGGATTCATTGCTCCTTACCTTTTGGGATACATATAATGACTGGATCTATCTCGTCATCATCTGCGAAGCAGTCCATGTTTTCTTGGTACAAGCTTGAATTCTCCTTGTACGTCGCTGGAAGGTTGGGTTTGAAAATAGCACCTCGGGGCACTATAATCAATTGACGATATTTCAGCATATTTGAAAAAGTCTATTCGCAGAGAGGAAAAAGCAACGTACTGTCTTTTTCTACTCCAGGAGAAACAGTTCCATCCTCCGAGTCTACAATGCCTTCGTCGTCTGGACCGCTGCAGCAATCGTATGCCTCCCAAGAAAGGAGTTTTGATTCACGCTGGAATTGGCACCTGTACAAGGTCTCGAGAAAAGTGGTGTGAACCGAGAGCATCGACAACTTGCGGCGGTTGCTGAGTAGTCTGCCATACGTGGCCAGGGGCGGTTTATCTTTGTGAACATACTTGAGAAGTTTGGCGCAGAATTAAGGATATGAGACTGCGTAGTAGACTGGTTGTTGTTGCTGATAGATCAAGATTGAAGGTCTGTAACGAATGAGACGCCAAAAACGGCGCAGGCAGAAGTTCAGAAGACAGTCTGGTCTATCCGTTTGCTGACAGGCTTAACAAAACAGGTATTTTCTCGCAGTAGTCACAGTATCTAACATTGCATTGACCAAGATGACTTTTCCCTTGATAGAACGAAACGGTGCCGATTTCGTGCCAAACACGTCGACCTTCCACGCGAGCGTAGGAAAGAGTTTCGAGGAATATGCCGACTCGATTGCGCAAGATCCCTCCAAAAAATCTGTAAGTGGAGGGCCAGTAGTCATCTGCATTCCAAAAGGTAAGAAACCATCGCCAATACCATGAGTGGTGGTCGCTCGAGAACTCACTCGCCTAGGAACGCCTATGCCGGAGCCCTTGATTCTTTTCCATGAATACGATACACACTTCTCGCTTCAACCACCCAAACCGGTATCTTTGCCTGGTATGTCTCTGGCACTGCTGAAGTCAATAATATTGTTCTTTTCATCTCTCTCTCTCTCTCCACTAACGGGAAGTTCGAAAGACTAGAGCTGAATGATCATCTTACTGAATTATACCGCTCTCATGGTACAGCAATACCCGCTGGTCTTTGGTTGGCAAGCCATTTGTATCGCGAAGCCGTGAAGATAGAGGAAGAAGAGGAGTGGGTACGATATTGACCATGTCGAGGAAGTTATGTCTGGTAGTATTGCTCTTTAGACACGAAATTCAACAGAGAAGAGAATCTTTTTAAACAGATCTCCCCTTTTGAATCATTAAAATAAATAATCCCACATACATAAATGATAAATTCTCAGATCTTGATGTGGACCTTAAGAAGAGTTGGGAGAAATAGGAAGATGTTCCCTAGCTCATACGCATATTACAAAGCTAAGACGAGGTGTTACGAGGTGTTACTAGCCTTTGATTCTATCTACGAAGTGAAAGTATGCAAGCAAAGCCAAATGCTCCGCCTCCCTAGTTGTGAAAGCGGAGGTCTACTGCATTTGCTTTTATATGAAATTCTAAACACTAGCTGAAATATAGGTTACAACTATTTTTCATCATATCATGGAATTCGCCTCGTTAATTAGGTAGGTTATGTTACCGCTCGTCTCTCAGATTTCATCGCATTGGCTGTACTGATATGAAACGTAGCGAAAGAAAGTTCGTGGCTTGGGCAACCGTTGAGCTCCGCATTTTTTATTCTTAAGCTTAATTTTTTTTCCCCTAAGCTTAAATTAACTAACTAGGCAAACGACATCATTGTATGTATGTACTGTACTGTACATGCCTCACTCCTTTTCGATCGTACAGGGCGAACGTGGATACTTCTTTTTAGATAAATGGCCCAGGAATGTGTCCTACTGATTTACTATACAGAGACTCGACTACTAAATAAGCAGCAGTGAATGTATAAAGCTTTGCTTGAGGCTTGCTTCGATATGATTTCAGGGCGAGGTCGCTCTCTGTCGCAGCAATGATGAAGATGGATATTTTGGATAAGACTAGGACTCCCAAGTCCAACGGGAGTGGCCAGAGCAGAGTCATGAAACAGGATGATATAACCCTAATTTAGTCCTGACTGACTCCAATATATTACTGCACTCTCATATTGATATCACGAACAATGCACCTCCAGCCCCTTCAGGTCGCTTTCTCTCCTCCACTCCTCTATCACCCGCACGTAATCCTGGATGCCCTTCCCCCACGGACCCATCCTCGCAGCCTTGATCGCGTCCTCTGGACTGCTGAACTTGTCCGCCTGTCCTTCTTTGTTCTGGTAACCCGGCGTGCAGCCAGCGTTGGCAGCCAACGCCCGTGCCCGCGACACGATCACGTTCGACCAGGCCTCCTCGGCCTCACGCGATGGCTCAACCGAGACTTTCTGTCCCGGGCGAACCCGTTTCACCGCCTCGGAGAGAATGTACGCAATGTGTGTCGCCAGCTGGTCGATGACATAGACCTGGTTCGCTACCACGCCGGCCTGGTTCGGGCCAGGGTAGAAGAGGTTTGGGAAGTCGTGGCTGACGACGCCGTGCAGCGTGGCCATGCCATCGAGCCACTTCTGCTCCATGGACGTGCCGTCGCGGCCCACAATCGACATGCCGCCGCGAGACGCAGGGCTCGTCACGCCGCTGACGTTGAAACCGGTGCTCATGATGATCAGGTCGATCTCGTACTCTGACTCGCCGACTACGACCCCCTTGCTCGTCAGTCGGTCGATTCCCTTGCCGTCCGTGTCGACCAGCGTCACGTTCTCCCGGTTGAACGCGGCCAGGTACTCGTCGTGGAAGCACGGCCGTTTACACCAGGACTGATACCACGGCTTCAAACTGGCTGCAGTCCGTCGGTCCTGCACGATGTCGTCGACACGTTGGCGGATGCGCTCCTGGCGGACCAAGTCCATCCAATTGAGCGACTTGACATAATCCGGCTCCAGATTTCTGGGCCCTCCAATGACGGCGCTGTACGAAGGCAGACTCGTCCAGCCATCGCCCACCAGGTTCGCTGACGGCTTGGGAGAGGCATTGGTGACGAACGCATTGAAGTTCTCCTGCCGTTCGCGCTGCCACCCTCTGCCCCTGGACACGACTTCCCTTTCCCACCATTCCGGGTCCGTTGGGCGGTTGTCCCGTCTGTCGACGGCGGAGGGCGTGCGCTGGAAGACATACAGCCGCTGACACCATTTGGCCAGCTGGGGCACGGCCTGGATGGCGGTTGCGCCAGTGCCAATAATAGCCACTTTCTTGTCTGTCAGCTGCGTCATGGCCGGATTCTCGGGCGAGCCTCCGGTGTATCGGTAGTCCCAGCGCGAGGTGTGGAAGATGTGGCCGCGGAAGTCCTCGATGCCCGGGACGACGGGCAATTTGGGGATGGTGAGGAGGCCCGTAGCTAGGATCACGAAGTCGGATTGGAGAGAGATTTCTCTTTCTCGTCTCTCGTTTTTGTGCGTTAATTGCACGATCCAGTGCTTGTGCTGATCGTCCCACGTCATCTTCGTCGCCGTCGTGCGGAACACCGCCCGCTGATGCAGTCCCCATTGCTGGGCGATTCTGTTGGCATAGTTGCGCAGTTCCGTGCCGGCCGCATATTTGTGTTTGGGCATGTACTGCGTTTCCTCAAGCAGCGGCATGTAGATGTAGCTCTCGACATCGCACATCAGCCCCGGGTAGCGGTTCCAGTACCAGGTGCCGCCAAAGCCGCCCGCCGCGTCGACCAGGAGGATATCGTCGAGCGAGAACCCAGCCTGGAGGAGCCGAACCGCGAAGATAAGACCGCCATAGCCAGCGCCGACGATCAGGATGCGGTAGTGGGCGACATCCAGGAGCGGGGTGGTATCCAGCTCGACGGGGTCATGCCAGGGGTCGTCGCCGAACCTGGCGTATTTGTCGGAGCTGGGGATGTCGACGTACTGGGCGTTGCCATCCTGGCGGAGTCGTTTGGCTCGCTCACCTTTGTAGATGTCGAGCGTGGTCTCGAAGAGAGTATTGTCGACGCCGTTGGCACCATTGACCGTTGCTACCTCTGTTTTGCTCGCAGACATGTCCACAGAATGTAGTATTCTGGGTATTTCTCCTGTTTCCACTCTTCCTCTGTAATTGCAATGGAGGATTAGAGCAGGTATTTATGTATACCACCGCCAGCCGATGCGCTAATCGGCACGGGGCGATCTGTCCGGCTGACAGATAGAATAATCAACCCAAGATCACTCGATATACGCCGTAGACAGCAGCACCGGAACGACGAAGACGCATTTCCACAGACCAAAGCGAGCTGGGCGAGATATGACCTGTCGACTCGGTCGTGGTACAGGACTCTGCCGAGCATCCGACATGCTGACCGTTCTGTTATGGATATGTATAGCAGAGTTCTTATCTCGCGCATTGACCGGATCCTGGCCCAGCATATCCGATATTAAGATTGTGTATTGATTGCCATGTGCAGCAGCAGTCGGAATCTTGTGCATTCCGATGCACTGCATGAAGCCATTGGTCAGTCTAGTCTAGCTCTGTGGAGTTAGTACGTTGTTTGATGCATTTCCACATGGCCGGAGATTAAGGAGGACTCCGGAGTGCAGTCCGGAGGAAATCGATCATTTTCACTGACTTCAGGGCTCTCACATTATCCAATCTATTATTATAAGCATGTCGACTGCTTCACTTGGACAAAAACAGCGTGATTTAGAATCCAAGATCAAGAATCAAGACTTTTTATCTTGTCCAAATCCATTTTATCCAGAGTGCCTTCGCGATCACGTGGTAATACTAATCCATCCAATAAGCGTTTCCGAACCGGACCCGAATACGACCATGTTCGGGACTGGAAGATCCGGATCCGCATTTTAAGAAATAGAAGTACGATATTATATTTAGTTATATTTAGTTCTATATAATCACGAAGTCCTCACTCGGAAGAAAAGGGTGATTACGAGCTAAATATACCATAACAGAAAAAAATACACAACTGTAAAGCAGAGATCTTATCACTAAGTTGTCAGCTTTCTTTAACAATAATCAATTCCTCTCCTCCTCTATGTTATTGCTACTAGTTGGTGTAGCTGCTATTCTTCCTAACCTGTTTCGACAGATACAATGTACTGATCCCTTGGCCTGCCTGCAGACAAAGAAGCTGAAGCTTTCTATTCGTGTTCTTTTTTACTACAAAATATATATTTCCATCGCTGCCAGTCAGGTGCCAATACAAGTAAGATATTTCACGTATGTACCTAGATAAACACCTACTCCTAGCTAATAGATAATCACCAGCCTACATACATGGATAGGACTATTAGTACATAGTGTCCACTCATGACATGTATGTACATTCTTTAGGAATACTCGATTTATTCTTGGATAAACCCCATCGAGATATGGCATTTACATAATATAGAATCAGCATGACTTGGTAGAATATATATAACTAGGTAGCATGTCACATTCCTTGAAGATATCACTACTTGTTGATTAGTTTTCATTCTATATCCACTGCTGGATGTTCCAATAACACATCTACCCGTCTATCGGTCTATCAGTCTTGAGAAGAGTTTGATGATTAATCCTCTGAGTATGAACTTTTGAAAAGACGCTTAGTACCATATTGGGAGGGGGAAAAGGAAAAAGGGCAAATGCAAAGCAGATAACTACTCATAGAAAAATCTGCATCGGAGTGCATCCAGGAACCTAGAAGAACAGATTTATAGATAGATGCTAGTTGCAGACACTCCCCGGTAGGAGATATCGTCCAGCGCAAAAAGAGGAACTCTGTTGACTGATTGGACACAAACTAATTGGGAGATAGAGTTACTTCTCCTTGGCCATAGTATGTACTGCACGTATGATTGACAAGATAATCTCGATTCGGGGGGTTACTGCATATTTGATGAATTTTAGTTTTCTCAAACACCTTTTCATTCTGTTGGCTATGTAGTAAACCAGTACTTTTTTGTGTTTTTAACTGCTGCATTCTGATTCACATGATGTCCTATCTAGGGCCATCAAGCCTGTCGAAATACGATCAGCTCGCTCCAAGAAGATTCCACAAGAACGGCTCTGCCTCGCGCTGCAGCGGCTTGCTGCGCCAATCGTCTCTCCAATCGACGCTCCCCGGCATCGGACCCCAGATACGACGAAACACTCGCAGCATTTCCAGGTCGGCAGGGGGGCCAGAAGGCCAGACCTCGGCGAAAAGCTCCATCTCCTGGTATCGATCCAACGCGACGCGCTCGTCACGTCTCTGCTGCCCGAGTTCGCGGACGGTGATCGATTCCTGTCCCTCTCTCAAGACCCGTTGCACCACATACGTCCGTTTCATGTCCCTCATGCACTTCCCGATCCCGTTAATCCGACGGCCCATGTACTTTTCGCCAGGTCGATTCATGATCTTCAGATACTGCAAAGGCTTCCCCGCCTTGTGCTCAGCAATCACATCCCAGATCTGCCTGACCAGCGTCCCATCCACCGCCGAGTTGGTCATGATGCTCTGGATCTGGCCGATACGAAGACGAGGATCTGGCGGGAACTCCATCCGATCGACGTCTCGAACGATAACATTCGGACCCCCTGGCTGATTGCCATTATTCGCTGGCACAGGAGTGACCGGAATCGAGCAGTCCAGGCGCAAAAGAAGCTTTGTCAGACAAGGGAGCCGGCCTAGTGCTTCATAGCAACGAGTCTCCCACCGATCCGACTCCGAGCGCTTGATCGTCGTTTCCAGACGCTCCAGGCGGGGACACGCCTCTCGCAGAATCAACAGCTCGCCGAGCGTCATGGGCTCGAGAGCGAGATCAACGAGCGTCGGGCCGTGCAAGTCGAAGATGCTCTGCCGAAGCTGTGCCGCTACAGGGAACCGCAGACGCAGACAGGACAGTGGCTTCAACCCTTCGAGAAACGTCAAAATAACCGTCTGGAAGAAGTCGCTGTCATCGCCGCTTGTTGGATAGATCGCGAGGCGTTCGAGCGCGGGCAAGGTATTGAGATTGCTCATGGTGTCAAGCAAGGTGAGCGACGTTGCCTGAAGAGTGAGCGAGCGTAGGTTCGAGAAATCGGTGTACTCCTTCCACGCGCGAAGCATCTCCCTGCCCGTCGTCTGCCAGATCCTCCCTCCTTCGTAGATTCCTCCCATGCTCAGCGAGGTGAGTTCACCAATACCGAACAACCCCCCAGCAGTATCGAACCCGGTCCAATTCGCTCGCACAGTTGGCCCCGACATAGTCAGGCACGGGAGCATGCGGACGATTTTGAGCTTCGGAGCCAACGATGTCAGCATGCTGGTAACCACCGCGTCGTAGTCGACATCGTTATCAGGTTGGCGGCTAGTGGGGACATAGCGCAAACCGATAGCATGGAGACACGGCGAAGAAAACAGCTCACGATCGAGCGGATGGACTTCGGGGCCTCTCGGATTGCGAACCCAGAAGTTGCGCACGTCAAGGCGGCACTGAGGGTGATGTTCATGCAACGCCTCCAGAAGAATGGGAGGGAAGCGGTTATCGCATGAAAACACGAAATCCGTCAGACGGCTGAAGAGGGCGAGGGCATTAGCCAGAGGCTGCCAGGCGAAGTCCACGTCCACGGGCGCGTCCTCTGGATCGTCTCGGTCGAGCAAATTCGAATACACAGGCTCCAACTCATCGTACTCCTGCCCGTCGTCTTCATCCTCCAAGTCACCAACGTCCTCCCCATCACCATCAAGGATAATCCGAACGCGGCGGCCACTGAATTCGCCATGGCGCTCCTGGTGGATCGTGGGCATGTAGCCATCGATCTCGAGACGACGGGTGTAGATAAAGCACTGTCGACGCCGTTCTCTCAAGGCGATGCCGCGCAGTTCTTCCCTCAGCTGTTTACGTCCGGTAACCTTGATACGGATCGTGCGATAGATGTACGGCACCGCGTCGACGTAGATGGTGCTGTTCACGAGGGCGAGACTGCGGACGCTGTCAGGCGATTTGTCCCACGCCTGTTTACATGTTAGAAACCGGCAGAACGAGTGGATATGACCAGCTTCGAGAGAATTGGATGGAATATGCATACCAGCTCGCAGATGCGGCGTACGACGAGCGACGGAAGATCATCGAGAGTAAGGCCTGGCATTGTCGAGGATTCTGGCACACCGCGTCTGGTGATCACAAGCTGTCGATGACTTGCTCTGGACTGCAGAGGTGATCAAGAACAACACGAGCTGCTTCAGCGAACAGGCTCAATTTATAGAGCTGTCGGTGGCGAGCGAGCCCTACGCGAAGACGAATAGCAGTTAATACGCGAAGTGACTCTGCAGAAGACCAAGAAAGACACGGTAAATATCGACGAGATCAAACAAGTGACCAGCGTCAGGGCGGCGTCACGATCGTACGGGGAAAATACAGTTAGCAGTTTGTTTACCTCCCTTGTGGTGGAAGCCGGCAATCGCGAGGTGGGATACCGACGCGGATTTCGAATAAAGGCGATATGCTCCAGGATGGATAGGACATGATATTCCTCCTGTGGGATAATCCTTCCAGTTTCCTCCCTTACTGCGATCTCGCTGAACCGGAAAAGACAAGCCAGGCTGGATATGAGGATATTTGCCTCCCAAAATCCTTGGATGCTGGTCAATATCCATGGATGATTCCATTGTCTCGCGTAACAAGCTGCGTGACGTTCACCAGGGAGACCGTTTCGTGTCACCGAGAACGATACAGTCCGTATTTTTATGTCACTTGTTGCGTCGTTGCTGTGGAGCATTCCATCTTGGAGACTGTTGTGATGGTGATTGTGATCAGACCACAGCTGCAAAAGATGTGAATCTGGTCGTGATCACTCTAGCTGTGAGACATCTCATGTTGGAATGTTCACAGGAATGGACATGCATGATTCTTGTGTTCTTCACCTGATGTATCCTGTAGAAATGAAGAGAAAAAAAAACTGTTTCAGAACATTCCGGAATGAAGGTTGAAGTTTGGACAACGTGGCTGAGATAGGGCAAGCCTCCCAGAGCGATAAGGTAAGCTGAGTGTAAATAGCATCCTCCTGACATAACTGTCACGTGGAACCAAGCAGAAAAGATATGGGATACTGAACATGTGAGCTGAACCAGACTGAACCATTAACAACATCAGCGGAAACTCTTATAAGATAACCTGTGGTGGAGAGGCTGGCTTTCTCCTGGAAATCAAATCTGAGAATGGGGGGAATGGAAAAGGTAAAGAAAGAAGTAAAGAAATGAAAAAGCTCTCATAATCCAGCATTCAGAATCCTTTTCGCATCGTTTCAGGACAGGACATCGTGCCGGAACGCGTGTAGTCTATTATCGCGCGTCCTCGGATAAAAAAATATTACTTTTGATGCTCATAGAAGAATCGCAACACCAGGGAGGTGATGTGTCCATCAAACATCGCTAACTTTACATCATGGAAAAATGTAGCTTTCTATGGAACCCATGCGCTGTACTACCATGCCATACCACGTAGGTATACTAAAGAAAAAGAAATAGGAACGTGGATGCAGGTTTCGTATAGGCGAGGTCGACCCCTTCTGTGCTCCTAATTGAACGTCGTTACCATGTGATGATGTGTTTGTCCCTCAGCCGGATTTCCTGGAGCTCTGTTAGTATAGCCAGACTTGCTTTCCTCTAGAAGCACATCTTAGAGGTGACACTTACTTCGGGTGAATAGTTCTTGTACCAAGGAAGGGAGCACAAGTTCTGATAGGCAGCCGTTCTGTCCGCTCCACAAAATGGTTCAAGATGGCGTTGTGGTACGAACGGGTCCGATATGCTAGAAGGAATCTGTTCGATTGACCAGGATTGTCTTGTTGCGGATGTTAGATTTAGCAATCGCAAACTTACCACACACGCAAAACATTGTCCTTACCTTGGCTGGATGCACTAGCTCTCGATGCAGGCGACTTCGCCATTTCACTCTCAGCATTCTGCACAGGAAAGCGAAAGAGGGAGTTGGGGAATGAGGTACTCGCGTTAGACGAGTTGCGAAATGTACTAGAACTACCCTCCGGCTTCGAAAAGAGGCTAGTCGTAGACGTGCTGGCGGACGGGAAAATTGAATGATCACCTGCGCTGTTACCAAAAAGCCCTCCTGTCGCTGATGGCTGTTGCTCAACGGTGCTTCTCGGTAGAAGGTTAGATATGAGTGTTGAGTTGGGAGAAAACAAACCGCCACTCATGGAGCTTGTATTGGTTAAGGTGCCCGACATGCCAAACGACTTGCTGTTGCCGGAAGGACTAGCTGAGATAGAGCTATTGACGCTGGGTCTCACCCGATCTGAATCGCTTGGCTTGTCTTTGGTCGACTTGGCCGGCGATTTGGCGTTAAGTCGAGAAGGTGCAATCATTCTCTGCTGGCGACGACACACATCCAGACACTTCTCGAGTACTTTCTGCTTTTCAGCTATACGGTTACGATACTTATGTGTGTCATCCGACTCAGAGACAATCGCTTCCAGTTCCTTATCGGTCATCTGTGAGATCTTCATCGGGGACAAGAGGTCTGTTAGGCCTCTCATGAGACAGTTCTCCACAGCCAAGGCAGCCACATTGTCGACAAAGACATCGAGAGCAATCGTGTAGAACGCCTGCATATTTTCCAAAAGTTCTGAACACGCGTTGTTCTCCATATCAATTGAGTCCTAGGTCATCTTTATGTTCCTGGCTCGCGTCAGGCGCGGGAATCAGTTTGACGCAGGCGGTCTTCTCTGGGGCTCGACGCAGGATAACCTCAGTAGTGAAGCGGGTGCAGAGACCGTCATTGACAGGAAAATGGACGCCAGAAATGGCCTCGAGGACGGAGCTTTTGCCGGAGCTCTGGTCACCGCAGACGATCAGTTGGGGGAGGGAGACGTAGCGGTTGACGCCGTGGTTGCGCAGCTCATCGATGAGGTCGAGGAGTGCAGCGTGGTCTGAGGACTGCAGCGACTGCAGCTGCGGACTGTTGAGGTCATCCATATCTGCGATAAGAGTCAGAAGTCAGCAGTATCTACCAGTGAGTCGCGCTTGGTTGAGGTGGAGTCTGCAGACGTGGTAGAGAACAGCTAAACCACCCTTGGCTGAGCCAGCAGTGAATCAAATAGCGTGATGAGGAAGATGGAAACACGACAAGTGAAAGCAGAGAAAAAATCTGAGATGATAAGCAACAAAGAGGAAGGAGAAAACCGTTTGAGCGACCTGCAGAGGTCACTTCCCAAAGAGGAAAGCATAGGGCTAGCTCGATCTCTGCCACGTGCCGCAGACAACGCAACCTCTCCTCCCTTTCCACTGTCACCTCCAGAAAGCTGGAAGATACTGGAAGATAGTTAGAGAAATATCAAATCTGACCATCCTATTCACTATATTCTGCTATCAATTTGATCAAGAAATCCCACGTCCATCCATAACACGCCCGGGGTATAAAACAATAGAAACCATCAAGTACACACATATCAAAAGTCATGTCAATCTCAGCCTCATTAAATGCACAAACGATCAATATCTCCTGCTACGGCAGCTCATGCCTCTCCCAGTCCATTCCAATCGCATCATCTTGGTAGACGTTGCCGTCGTCCTTGGTGATGACCACCCACATCACTTTCTGCGCGACGCGCTCCTCTCGTCGATCGACTTGCTTCATCTTGCGTTGTCCTTCCTTCATCTTCTTCCCCACTGTTTTGTCCTTCTCCCGAACCAGCTTGTCCTTTTCCTTTGAGCTTGTCAAGTTCGCGCTTCAGCTCATGCTCCACCTTGGATCGCTTCTTCCTCCCTTTCCTGTTATCCGGCAACGAGAGGATCTTCTGGTCGGCCTCGACCCGAAGACGAGCCATCTGCTCGTCCAGCTGCGCGATGTCCTTGTTCGCCAGGCGATGCTCCTCCTCTGCCTCGGCCAGGATGCTCTGCGCCTTCTGCCGCCGCTCCATGAGCTTTCGGTTCTGGCGCTCCGCGAACCAGTTCTCCTGCTTCTCTGCCGCCTTGGCGACCCAGCTCTTGGACTTGGCCAACGCAGGTGGTTGCACGTCGAAGTTCAGCGGCATGACATAGTCCTTCAGCGCCTCGATGCGTCGGATGCGCGGGTCGCCGCCCTGGATCTCAGCTGTGTCGACCTGGTCGGGCAACGACTCCAGCTTCGTTTCCGGGGCGCCGATGCGGGTCATCATCTCGGGCGTCTGGAGCACCTGCGCATGCAGTCCGTGCGGCTGGAAGAGCTTGCGGTTGGCGACCTTGAGGTAGGCGTTCGTCCGCGTCTTGGAAATTTTCATGACGCCGTACTCGGCGGCAGCCTGGATGCCCACGGCGGCCACCTGGCACTCCCACGAGGGCATGAGCCCGATCAGCTGGCCGACCTGAGCGCCGGTCTGGATGTAGGGGCTCGCCAGCCACGCCTCGTTGAGGCCGTCGATGAAGGCAAGGAAGTCGTCGGAGGAGATGCCCAGGGTAGCCAGGTCAGGGGAGTAGGCGCGAGCAAAAGGCCGGTAGAAACGGCCGTGGATGGTTTTGGAGGTTTCTTCAGACCTATCAATATGCTTCAAGGCAGAGTTGTAGAACGATTGCACGTACGAGGAATAACGCATGGGTTGAAAGATGGGTCTGCTGACCCGCGACGAGGGGGCAACGCAGGACGAGATTCCTCTGTCGTCGCAGCAGTGATAGCACTTGTTATCGTCGGTGATGGATTTGACCACAATGGCGTTTCTGACACCACGGCGGAATACGGCGGCGGCGCATCTGTTGGAACCTGAGGCGATAGAGGGAGCGGAGATGCGGGTGCTGCTGATCGCTGAAAGGATTCCGACTTCTCTGATGAACGAGGGATGGGTTGCTGAAGTCGCAGGTAATAAGTCTGGTCGCTCTGGGAGGATGGCCGTGGAGGATCGGGCTCGAGAGCCATGGGCGGCAGGCTCTGGTACTCGGCATAGCGCACCGGCCGACGCGGGATCAGGGAGGGATATGTCGACGTCATGTGGATAGAGAGTTGCTGTTAGAAGAGATCATGCAGTATGTATAAGTAAATCTTTACTGTTGTATTTGAATCTGGGTGAGCAGCATTATAAGTACAAGTATCATGAGCTGAACCCCAGAAAACGGAATTGTTCCAGTCTCAGCTTCTGCTGTGTTACATGCACAAGCCTATCATCTGTGCAGCCTCGGGGCCGTGAGAGTGTGCCGCAGCAATAATACATTGCGTTTGAATTGTTCTAGGTACCGCCATGGGGCTGTGCTGACCATAAAGGAATTCGTGCAGGTGATGGCACGACATAGAAGCCAGGAATCCAGTCAAGGAACCAACATCCTGGATTAAGGAAGTCTCATTTCATGACTGCAAAAGCTGAGTCGAGTTAGCAGTCAGCAGCCAACTTATCCACTTGACCTTTAATTAAATTGGCCGGTCCAGCTAACACTAGATAACCGATCGCATATCTAACCTGGTCGCCAACAACGCCATTTCTCACGCCGCTCAAGGCCTGTCAGCTTGTTGGCTCAGTTCTTATTTTAGTGAACGAGCCCCGTCTAAGTGGCAGATGAGAACTGACATGCGTTAGTAATTGGACGGGACTGATAACCTTAACAAGTAAAAGACACGAGGGTACAGGAAGTGAGAGTTAGGCTGAGTACTTGTACTTGAGCCATCGGCCTCCACTAGGGTTCTCTAATAGACATACACTACTCGTCGAACTGACACTAAGTTAGAGCAGAAGAAGGATGCATAGGTAAAGACTAAAGGCTACGAGAAATCTACATTCTTGTGCTTGAAAAAAAAACGTGCTTTACTCTACCAACACAGGTGACCGATTGACATTCTACGGTATGGTTTTTTGAAAGAAGTATAGACTAGAATTCATAATTGAAACAAATTCCGAATAAACCGTCATACCTTTTATATCGCGCCCTCGAGCCAACAAAAAAAAAAAGAAAGAAAGAAAAAAGGAAAAAAAAGAACGACACGTATATGTATAGGTACCACACATTATTGGAGCTTAATGCCAACCACTACCCTACATGTATACCCCGCTTCTTCGTAGGCTGCGTGTCAGACCAACAATCCCACAGCTATGTCGCTAGGAATACAGAAGCGGCAGGCAAGTAAGGCTCAACCTTTGTCTTAATCTCAGCGCAGTACATATTCCATACAGTTCTCCTTTTATCTTGTCCTCACCAACCCACCATCGAAATGAGCCTGCAAATCGAGCATCAGGCTCATCAAAAGACCTCGCTTCGTTCTTCTTTCCACATCTCTCGGGAGCGAGCCAATCGAGCTATCTTATCTTATCTTCCTGCGAGTTTCCGCAAGAAGAAATCGACCATAACTGCCAACAACCGTCGAACAGTAACAATAACAATAATAGTCAAAAAAAAAACCTGTGAAGACTGTCACTACCGCAAGTTGACTTCGAATTTCCCCATTCAAATCCATTCAAATCCCAGCACAGCGCTCCTGCTTTCCTATGGACTCGCTCACTCTCCGGTTGTACTGTAAGAGTTTATGGGTGAGTTGAATATGGGCTGCACCGTTGACCGATGCGCAGATGGAATTGCTTCGCTATCATGCGCTTGTATCTTGATCTTTTCTTTAGCTGATATGCAGGTTCACCACCTCTCATTCGACGCCACTTTATCTGAATATTGAGTATCAGAGAAGCTGCGCTGAAAAGCTAGGGTCAAGATTCCGCTTCAGCTCTCAAAAGTGTCCTAATATCAATTCTCCTATCCGATTCACAATTTATCCTATCTCGGAATGAGAAGAATATTGAATTCAACTCCAACTGCGACCAATAAATGTGTTATCCGCTTTTGGATATATGTTGGATACACTTCAGTAAGATCAGATCTCACAATTTTGTTTGTCATGAGATAGTCTGGTATATAGGGAGCCAGCCTACCCAACAACCAACAAACCAACATTATTTCTATAGGCGTACAGGACTACGTAGTTACGCGATTTTGTCAGCTTCAGGATAGCTATACCCTCTCTGATAATTCTGAAGCACGTCGATCATTAATTATATCGGTCGAGAATGGTAATGTCTAGCAAGATTGTTCGAGCTCATTCCTTCCATTTCAAATGGCTGGCTTGAATTGGATTGGACTATTTACTTCTTTCAAGAAGCAACATCAATTCTGTCTGAGAGCCAGTTCTAATGATGTTATAGATGTTGCGCCGACAAAGAGTCTTGGTCCTTGATAACAGCCAGTAGGTGCAACATGGTTGTTACAGAGCTCTTCGTGCATCCTGTTCAATTGAACCTGTCCCGTTCACTGCTCAATACCTACGGCGTAATCTCGCACACTACGCCCTCTTGGCACAAACCTCGCCTTGGACGCAACAGGAACCGCCGTCAGCGCCGTCGGATCCTTCAACCCGCGGATGGGATCGATCGTGCTGCTGTGTGGATCCGGCTTGCCATCGCCGTCGCTGGACGCAGGCCGGATCTCGAATTCGGCCAGCAGGTGCAGCAGCACCGTGTACACGAGCCGGCTGGCCAGGTGCGAGGCGACGCACATGCGCGAGCCGTACCCGAAGGCGAACTGGTGGCTGTGAGTGTCGGAGTCGCCGAGCCAGCGCTCGGGCTGGAAGGTCCATGGTTGAGGGAATGCTTCTGGGTCTGGGACATGACGGAATTAATCATTGCTCTGACTGAGGGATAAAAGGAAGCAAATGAATTTGGCCATGAATACCTCGATTACACCCCCACGCATTCAGAAACACTATCGTCCCCTCTGGGATCGTGTACCCTTCGTACTGCACCTCGGCCGTCGTCTGCCGCGGCATGGCCAGCGGTAGAACCGTGTAGAACCGCATGATCTCCTTGACCAGGGCGCGGAGGTAGTCGATCTCGCTGGTGCCAGAGGCGTCGTCGCCAGCACGCTGGATGGCGTCGTATGCCTTCTGCTGGATGTCGGGCCGGTGGGCGAGCAAGAGGATTGCCCAGGCGAGGGTGGGTTGCGTGCTGTCCGCGCCCTGGCGACGTCAGCACTAAAACATGCATCTATGTGTACTGTACACAGGCCGGGCTGCATACAGCCATCATACTCAAACTAATACTCAACAGTTCATTCCTGGTCAGACTGACCGACTCAGGATCCCGCAGCACGCTGCTCTGGAGACACGGCGTGTCGGTATTATTCGCCACCTCCTCCTGCAGCCGGCGCAGCAGCTCGTTATTGTACGCAATCCGCCGCTGGCCGATCTGCGCCGAGTATTTGGCAGACTTGGCGAATCCCAGCCATGACACGATCGGATCGATGATGCGCAGCAGCGGGATGTAGTTGGCCAGGTTCTTGGACGTCGACCGCAGCGTCGAGATCTCGCGCTCGACCTCGATGACTTCGGCATAGAGCGGGTCGCCCGTGAGGTCTTTTGTGTTGGCGACGCTGGAGACCGTCAGGTTGATATGCAAACAAATCGCGAATGCCTTTATAAGCAGAAACCCACCGAGTCCCGTAGTTCAACGTCAAGACCAGGTTGAGCGACAGCCGCTGCACAAACGGCTTAAAGTCGACGTCGCGGGCGCCGTCTTGCGATTCCCGCAGCAGCTCCTGGATGAACTCCCTGCTCTCGCGGAGGAAGATCTGCGGACTCAGTACGTCGCCCAGAAAGATCATATATCATATATATAGGTGGGAGGATACCGGCTCATACGACTGCACTTTGTGCCGATTCAGCGCCGCAGCCGCCAACTTGCGTCTGTTCTTGCAGCTCTCGCTCCAGGGACTGGTGCCAATGCTGGCGACATTCTTGCTGACGAGCTTGTGGAAGACGTAGAACAGCGGGCGCGAGTTCAGCGCAGAGCTCTGCGCCAGAAACAGCGTTTTGGCTGCGGCGGCAGTGTTGACGACGACGACCGGCGTGTTGCCCAGCTGGACCTGGTACACAGGGCCGTACTGCTCGGCCCAGCGTCGGTATTGCTCGGCGGAGAAGGTGCTCAGGACCTGGCAGGATAGCAGAGAATTAGCATGTACAGTAGTATACAGTTCTGGATGATACCTGAGGGAGATTCCCCACGACAGGCAATCCTCTCGGACCCGGCAGACCCTTTAGACGGGCCTTCCACCGGACGATCTCATTGATCGTGAGATAGACGACGAGAAGGATGAGGCCAGTTTCGAGGGGGAGGAGGAGGAGGTTCGCAAAGCCCATGTCTGAAATAATTCACGCAGCAGCTGTTATCGACGATGGATCACTGTCTGAGGGGGAGAGCATTTATCCTGAAGACGTGCGATGCGATCGACATCGGTATATAGGTCGGCTACTGAGCCGATTCAAGTCGATGACACTACTATAAAGGTGGTCGTCGTCAGTGGATTGCCACCAGCCTGTAGGTCGATTCGTATTCTGTCTGTCTTTGCTTGTTGGATAAGACTGACAGATAAGTAAGCACGTCATCAGCAGCAGGGGTGAGAACATTAGCCTGGCAGGCTAGCTGCATTGGACGTTGTGCATGTATCCATGGATGTATCTATGTAGTTCTCTGTTCTTATTACAGGACAACTTCGATGAGTAAACCGTTTATTATTATTCTAGCGATCAATGACTAGCTGAATGTTGTTGCTATTGATACTAACATTTAATGAGTATCGGTAGTAATACTATAGACAAGGGACTTCCTGTCAAACAATTCTCTAGTGGCCTGACGCAATATCATGCATTCATCTAGTCATGGAGCACCGGTACAGAGTACATGCATACATAGTAGTCTACTAGGTGGATCCATTCATCAGGCCAGAGTCTGGGGATTTCGAACCGCAACCCTCCTTAATGTTAAGGATTAACCTATCTACTATCAAAAATCTGCTAGGAGATCACTCCTGCCTCACTTTGGTACTGGTTGGGATCAAAATTTCGTCTCTAAACAGAAATGGATTTCTACCTGGAATACACAGACACTTTTTAGTGAGATTAGCACAAAGACAGTTCGTCTGTTTTAAGACTTTTGTTTTATACTGGGAAGAGCCAAACCAAAGTCTCATACACGCCATCTTGTATACGCAGGCCGAGTTGTTGTACAGTACATGTACCTTCATGTGACTAATGTCTATTCGCCCGTACTTTTAGACTTGTAACGAAAAGAACCTTCATAACCTAGAAGGTCCCCCAGTAATGCAAGTCATAATCTACTCCACCAGGCCGCCACAAGGCAGCAGGCGTGTACACCGGAATCGGCGAAGCAGCTGTAAGAGTCCATGTTAGATTGACGGCCGAAAGACTGAGAGGGAAGAACATACTGCCGTAGCCTGTACTTGGGGCTGCCCAGGTAGGAAAAGTCGGTGCTACCCAGTTAGTCGGGGATGCCGTAATAGTATAAGTACTTGTATACGTGTGAGGTGTCTCTCCTGGACTTAAGGAAGAGATCCCATCGTTGGGACCGTAGCTGTCGTCTCCGATTCCAAAGACGTTATTGATCTTGTTTACCACAATGTCACCGGATTCAGTCCAAACGGAGAACTCCTCAATAGTGACGTTCGTTGCATAAGTCAGGTCATTTGCAATTAGATAGAGAGGAGGACGCAACGCGCCATCGGCGACGGATCCTGGGATGATTAATTAGAATCATGACTGGTTTCATGGTGACATGGGAGAATTGCGGATCATACCAGAAAAATTTTGAAATACAAGGTTAGTCAGAGTAACTGATCCTGTGTCAGGCTCCCATGTATTTTGCCAGTACTGATTGATATCCAGTCCGTAGAGACTGGCTTTGGATCGGAAGTTGGCAAATGTGACATTGGTCACATAGCCCGATCCGCCCGGGTAGGTCTTGATGAAAGCGATCCTCATTGCCTTGGATGACGCTGATGTTGCGTGCGACCTGTAGAAATCCTCAGTTACAGAGGGTAACACACACCATAGTAAGCTCCACGTACCACATTGGATATTTCGGCAGATACGTTCAGACTGCCAATCGAGACCCCTGATCCTACTTGGTTGCAAACCAAATTCTCGATCAGAACATGATGCGAAGGGCTTTTCACGGAGACGCATTCATCGCGGTTCGTGACCTGCGCCACATTATTCCTTAGCAAAGGAGTGTCAAACAGGTTTACATGTTGGTGAGGTTACCTCATTATCATGGACATAATAATTTGTACCAATGACGTCGATGCCATCATAGCTGCCAAGATTGGCGCCTCGAATCGTGAGATGATACACCTCTACATTGACAGCAAAGTCAAGGACTATATGAAACTTTGGGCTGTCCACCAGAATCAAATCATGGACCGAAGCATTGGTAGGGGAAATGAGCCGGACAAGGCGTGGCCGATCCGTGCTGGAGGTTCTGTTAGCTTTTTGTTATTAACAACTTGAGTGACAAGGCCTTTCTTTACTTGTTGAGGTTTCTATATATATATCCTTGGCCCTGGAAAGCTCCCAGTCCATTCGAAGAATAGAACTCAAAGTCCACCGCTTTTTCATTATCAGCATTCTGGACCAGTCAAACAATACTTCTACTGACTCACCATTAACAATGACAAGAACATCTAGTAAGAACTCTCCGTCACCCTCTCCATTGATTGTGGCATTTATCAGATCCACACCCGCAAACCCTTGGAGGATCAACTCACGGTCAATGGTCCAATTCCCACCATAGGCAGCAGTAATCAGTCCATCTAATTGGAAGGCCCAATTTGTCCCATTGCTGAGAACCACGCCACGAGTGAGCAGATACTCGCCCTGTGGAACGACGAGACGGCTCCCGGGGTTTCAACGAACACAGTCATTGAACGTTGTCTCAAGGGCCGTCGAAATGTCGGTGCTGTTATCTGCGACGGCGCCGTAGTTCAGGATATTGCACTCGATTGTCTTCTGGGTGAGGTCTGTCGTAGGGCCGACTGGTCCAATAAGCTGGCCAGCGGCAAAGCTGGACAGTAGCAAAAGAGAGATAGCGAGAAGCATTGTAGTAAAACAGCTCCTAGCCGTGCTTTGACCGATTTCTTGTCAACATGTGCAAATATTTCTTGAGTGAGTATTTATATTTTTATAGCTCTCCGTCAGCCCGTGCGTGGAATCAGCGCAAAGATGTCGACATAGTTTTTCCGTCCAATCACCCATTACTTTCTGGATAGCAGCAATTGCTAGCTGCAGCGTTAATTTCCAGTCTGACCTCACCTGGTAAAGTGTTGGTGTTCCCCTTAATCTATCTTTTCTTTTTCTAAGGCTACCGAAATCCTGGTCTGAATGAGCTTTTCCTGCGGCGACACAACTACAACCCACGGAAGAACACAACACCTTGTTTGGCTACTCAACATGTTAAGTCATCTTTTTGCTCATCAGTGAGGTCCTTCAGCTGTAGGTCAACCAGTTCCATTCCAATCCAAGGCGTGAGATGGATAACCTTACTTGCAGCATTGAGCAGTTGTATTTCTTTGGAGCAGCGTTGAGCTCACGGTCAATAAACAGCTTTTCTAGTGGATTCAGTAGTTTGAATAGTGTATAGTTAGGATATTGCAGTCCATCTTCACAGACTAACTGTAGAGGAGAATCAGAATGGGGAAGTCCCTTAGGCTTCTCAGGCAGCTGAAGTAGTCGTTCAATCGCCGGCATGTTGAATAGAAATGATAAATGTGTATGCATATAAAGAAGCCGCCCTTTGTTTCACAGGTCAAGCTGAAGTCATATGTAATTTAGCAACACAAAGTTTGGTTAGTAGAGCAAAGATTCTGTACTCGTTGTAAGACCTAAAGGCGCAATTCTGTAACGTAATAATTGAACGATATCATCTCATTCTGTAGTACAACCCCACTAGTACGGATAAATCTCAACGGACATGCATAATGCAAAATGTCCGCAATAAGCTTGACTATTGGTTGGTGGAATAATAGCTATCACGTCATTATAGTCAAAAAGATGTTCTTATCAGATACAGCTAAGAGGAGTCCATTGCGTGTGATAAGAGAGAATCCTAACTATTAAAACATTTTCTATACCCAATAAGAAATCATGTTATATCTTGAGATTTCTAAGTTGCAGCACATTATATTGAAATTCGTTTGGAGTGATGCCCTCCCCTAATCTTGTTCTTGTTCCGCCACAAACCCTGTAGAATAGCTTTATCATGATAGGCTCAGTGTTTTATCCCTAATAATTTAACTACTTCAGAATTGCAAGACCCTGAGGCTCCACACTACCCAGTTTTATAGTGGCCCGCACTATCTGCCTTGCAACTGACTGGCTTAGACTACATTTCAATCCGTCCCTCCACGTATATAGTCTGGGGTGTTTCTTTCTTTTCTTTTTCTTTTCTTTTTTTTGCTGAAATTATCATCTGTGCTGTAGTATCATAGTTAGAAAAAAAGGATTAGACAGATGTCTTGGAAGATTTGAAACTGCTAAGACCCAAATTAACGCGTATTACACATACAATCTAATTGAAAAATTCTTTACTAACATTAAAAAGACCTTCAATGTTGCAAAAAAGTTCAAAGCCTCCATCTCAGTAGGTTCTCAGTAGGTAGTTAAATCCTTCCATCCCAAATGTGCCAAAAATGATGTTGACTACTAGCTGCGCCTTGATGCTGGCAAGCTAGTCAACAATTAATATTGGAATATAGTTCTGCAAATCAATTCTCAAGCCAAAAATACTAGATTAAAGGAATGGGTGAAGAAACAGTCTCAGAAAACACATGCAAGGCTCCAGCGCAGTTCGACACTCTTGTTAATGACCCTGAAGCTGAGGGACAAAGAGTCCTGGGCGTACTAGAGCAGCAAGCTATACAGGAATGTAAAATAAAAGAAGCCCGACACAAATCTGCCTCACGAAAGGGTGATGAACTGCAGCAATCAGCTTAGTCAAACGATGTTCGCAAATAGCTTACCCTACTTACCTGCCCTGCACCCTAATTGCGCAACATCCAGGCGGCGCTGCTCACCTGCTAGAACTGGACGGGCAGTCAACAAGGTGTCCGTAGATTTTTGCTTGGTAGGTATGTATATGTCGTGGGAGTTAGTTGGTTACTTTTGTCATTGGCAGGTACCTAGGTAGGTCAAAAGCACGTCAAGTAATCTACGAGCAGCTCTCTTGCCTCACTCGGACATTGCTGCTTAACAGGTAATCATCTCTCACTTACGATGCTCAAATACACTGACAAGGAGACTGGCCTACACAACCGGCTTCCACTGCTGCTCACACCACTCCCAGAACCTGGTATCGTAGCCTAGTCCACCCTGCTCCACCGGAGTCATTGCCTTGATGATATTCCTTCGCGGACAGTACTCATCGAGACGAATCCTTCCTCAGGGAATGACATAGGCACCGTTATTACTCTCCAGCGTAATGTCCGGCGACAACCCCGCGTACAGCTCTGTGTACGCACCAAACTTTGCCTCGTACAGAAGCGGGCGGATGAAAAACATGGCGACGGTAGGGGTCCCAGCGTACGAGCCCGCTTTCAGATTTCCCGGATTCTGGATGACGCTGACAATGCCGTCCTTACCGTACCGCCGAGCCAGTTCCCGATCCAGCATCCAGGTGCCGACCTTGGACACGGCATAGTCGTGCGTGCGGTCCGTCGTGCCCGTCTCCAAGCGGTCGAAGTCGATGCCGTTTGCCGGCGACGCAGCCTCGGCCAAGAAGCTGGATGTCCACACCACGCGGACGGAGGCCGAGGTTCGCGATGCAGCAGCGCGAAGCTGAGGAAGAAGGAGCTGGGTAAATAACAACGTCGCCACACAGTGCATGCCGACCATGGCCTCGAAGCCCTGTGCCGTTTTCGCGCCGGCCTGCACGAGGTTGGCGCCGGTGCCGGCGTTGTTCAGAGGACGTCGAGCTTGGATTCCTGCTGCGCAAAGGTCGCGGCCGCTGTCTTGACGGATTCGAGATCGTTCAGATCGAAGTGCAGGAACTTGATCGTGCCTGACAGGGGTCCTTCGGCTGTAATGGGTCGTGAGGATGAAAAGCTTCCGAAAACTGACCGGGTAGGACACACTCCCCAGTTTCTAGCAACTTATCACATGTCAGAAGTGATATCTTTCAGCTGTTCTCGAAAGGGAATTTGGCTGGGGGACAAGTATTTGTATTTTTGAAATATTCTCATATTGACCAGGTATTTTAAACAAAAAAAAATGAAAAGAAAAGAAAAACTTATCCCGCAACCACCCCAATCGTGATGGACGATAATGATGACAATAACTAGACTTAGTGTTACAGTAGAGTAGCCATTAGCCATGCTCACCTATCTGATGCACTTCAGCCGGGCTTTTTTATATTGTCATGCTCTTGATATCCGCCCTGTGCTGGTCATCCCATTTCCGCCGTTCGGAGTTCCACACATGATCTTAATTAAGGCTTCGTTTGATACAACTGGCCTGAATCTGCTGCTGCTCGACCTTTACCAGCGCATCAAGGATCATAGATATCTATAATAATTTTTTTGTTTTCTGCTGCTGTTCCCGCCTTGGATCTTGTTGTTGAATGGACTTTATAGATGTGTCGATTAGCTATATTCAATCGTCACTCCCTAGATTAGAGTAGGTACTCTTCTCTGTTGATGGCATTAATAATCAATAATAATACCGGAGTTTGTGTATAGCTCGACTCAGAGGCAGCAATCAGTTGCTGACTTAGTAGGCCTTAATAGAGAAAATACATGTATCAATGGGAAAAAGCACAGTGTGAGTATAGGTATACACACGCCTCAATCACAGGCATACTAGCAATCTAGACATTTTTAAACGACACTATACGTCCTCGCAGTAGTGCAGGATAGACGAGTAATTCTTGATCTGCTCGAGCGTGTGTGTCTCAGACGGAGGTCTATCATGTCAGTCACAATTTTACCCTTGTTTGAGAACTGTTGGATCAACCTTGCCCCTGCTACATGCAACTCAAGGCGCTGTGCCCGGCAGTCTGCCGCTGAGGTTGACGCTGTCATAGATCTTGTTCTGCTGCTGTACCCGTCAATCTGTGACATTGTATTCAGAGTCTGCTTCGCAAGGCCGATATAATTGATGAGACGGGGCTGCTGTCTTCGTTCAAGGGCGTAGTTTGCTAATATCTCCCATCCAGCTCTGCTGTACTGTACTGTACTACATACAGCGGCGGATTGCTAGTCGCCATTATCACGTTATCTACAAAAATATGATGACAAAGGAGCAAACAAACATAGGATAAAAAAACGAGATACATAGGTATGACAAGCATTCTTCCATCGGACCCTCGTCCAGCGCCGACGTCGGTATCGGTATCTCATCCCAACTCAGCTGGATGAAATGTAATGGCATGCCAAGGCTATTATTAGGAAAAGGGACTCAAGCCGACGTGACCGAAATGGAAAGCAATCAAACATGACCCCTCTTACACTACTATAACTAATAGTATTGATACTTCTATACTGCTTCTTACTAACACTAACGAGGTCGAATTCTTCAACATTATTATTTAGTTTGTTATTCACTGATTTATTTATAGACATGATTCACTACATTTACATCCATCATCCTACAACCCACATACGCATACACATCCCATATATCCCTGCATACAGCTAATCTATCAAATCGACAGCACAATCTGCCTTAGCTTCTCAAAATTCGGCGTCCCCAACCCCGTCACCGGGTCCCATCCCGGCGTCGCGTTCCAGTGCGCCCACGGAATGACGCTCGCGCCCGGGATCTTCTTCCCCGTTTGAAGGTTGATGCCCGTGCAGCCGTCTGACTGTCCGCCCGTGATGTCGTTCAGACCCTTGTAGCCCAACGCGTACAGGAATGGGTTCAGGAAGCCTAGGGCCGGCTTGCCTGCGCGCAGACGCGCGTCGTTCAGCAGGCCCAGCACTGCTGCGAACTGGGGTGCCGCTGCCGAGGTGCCGCCTGATCTGGCGGCAGTCGCGTTCACGACCACGAAGACGCTGCCACCGTTAGCCTTGCTGTCATAGCAGTTTACTAGCAGAGAGGGCCGCCTACTCCGGAGTCAGACTGTGCGCGGCCACATCCGGGAATCCACGCCCAGAAAAGTTGGTGAACTGCGAGTAGTACGCCTTGGTCTGGTTGCTGACGTACTTGGTCAGGTACGTCTCAACCGCCTCTTGCTGATACCACGCCGTCGGGAAGTAGTTGCTGAACCCGCCCGAACCAGCCTCCCAGGCGACCTCGGGCGTCACCGCCTGCGTGCCGCCCACCGCGGTGACATACGGACAGGTGCCGGGGAACTGAGGCGTGAACTGGGGCTTCTTGGAGCCGTCGTTGGCCTGGCAGGGAGCGCCGACGCCTGAAAAATTAGTATATCTTCAACCCAGCCGATCGATGTACTCACCGGTATCGCCCGCCGACTCCAGCACAGAAACTCCCCGCAGCCCCATCAGACCAATCAAGTTGCACACGCGTCTGGCATAGTATTCGGGAACGGTCTGCTCATCATCTCCGTACGAGTTGCTGATCACCTGAGGGAGCTCGTCGTTCGGCTTCGACAGCAGATACTCGTAGTACGGCAGATACGGCTCGTTCTCGTTGTCCGCGGGAGTCGGCTCATCCAGGTTGGGGATGAAAGGGCTGTCGTCGTCAGCTCCTGATCGGATCGTTCAGCAGACAGGCTACCTACGGAGATCCACCGGTGATGTATTCGACCACCGGCAGCGGATGGCTGACTCCCACAATCATCTCGACGTCCAGGTCGGCCTCCTCCGACTGGGCGGTGGCCAGATTCTGGTCGTTGATGCCGCCGTTGATCAGCTCGACGGAGAAGTTTTGCGACGGGATGCCGAAGCGCTGCTCAAACAGCTCGAGATCCAGGTAGATGGCCGACTGGTTGAGGAAGCTGCCAAAGCCGACGCGGCTGCCGGACTTGGGGTCGGCCGTGTAGCTGCCGACGCTGTACAGCTGCTTGATGCAGGACGGCGTGATCAGGGTCTGGCACGAGGGGTCCACCGACACGGACGACGCTCTCTTGGACGTGGTCTTCGACGCCGTAGTAGTCGCATGGCGTTTGCTGGGACGGAAGCTGGTGATGGTGCGGGCAGCGGAGGACTTGCCAAAGTAGGTGGTGGGCGAGATCAGGTCAATGTCGCCGACGAGGTGATCCGGGATGGAGTACTGGGTGGTGCGCAGCTTGGTGCTGGCGCCGCTCGAGTAGTAGGCGAAGCTGGCGTTGAGCAGCTGGTTGGCGGTGCCCACGGTCGTGGCGAAGTTGACGGCGCTGCCGGTGCGGTGGATGTCGGAGATGCCGGCGCTCTGCAGCCAGGCGACGACGTTGGAGTCGTTGACGACGGGGAACAGGGCGTTCACCTCATCGTGATCCAGCCACTTGCCGTAGTCCGGGCTGCCGGGCGTCGACACGGCGCGCAGCTTGGACTCCAATTGATCGAGATTCTGCTGGACGAGGGCGACGGACAGCTGAATAGGGGTCGAGGCATCAGCCTCCTGGACAAGGGTCCATCCGCTGGGGACGGCGGCCAGTCGCTCGTGGACGACGGCCAGAGCAGGCAGGGCGAGCTGGCCCAGCAGACCGAGGCGGAGAAGCATGGTGCAGACGATGGTCGATCTGGCAGTGGGATGGATCAATGCTGCCGAGTCGCGCAGCTGCGATGGGCAGAGGATCGCACAGAGGGGATCGCCAGCATTAATATACTCCAGAGTATACGGAGCACCCCGTAATCGTGCAGCCCGGCCCCAGCTATGTCACCATCGTGCCCAAAAGCAGGTCAGCTATCTAATTCCAGCGCTAGCACGAGCATCAGCTGCCCGATCGGGCTAATCGCCGCCGCACGCCGGATCCGGTTGGCAGATAAGCGGTTTCGTGCCTGGGCAGCATCCAGGGTTCCGCAGATGAACAGGATTAATCAGGGTTAATCAGGGGTCGGAGGCTAATTGAGCGCCGGTCCGGTGCAGGGAAGCCATGGAACAGAAGAGCTGCTGTCCATGTTGGTTTTTCCCCACAGTAAGTCGATCACGGAGTTCTCCGTCGAATCTGAGGAGTGTCAATGCTAGACAGAGCACTCAATGACTGCAGCACTTACCTAGCAATCAAGAACAATAATAGCAATCAGTCCTCATCTCAGAGCTGGCAGCAAAACAGTCCTTCCTGTCTGTCTGTCTGTCTGTCTGTTCCTTGACTGCTTGCACGAACGAGTCCGCGCTAATCGCGTCACGGGACTAAATGTAACCCCGCGTCAGCACGCTAGCCGAAACAGGCCTAGTGGCTGAAATTGTCACATGCCGCCTTACTAATACTATCTTCTTTGCTGATTGCAATAAGACGGTGTACTCCGTAATTTCTGCGCTTAATGACGGAGGATGAAGTGGCATGAATTGGCAAAGGTTGCACTGATGGGTGACACCGGCAATAATAAGGTTGGAATGTTCTCGATCTGCAGATCCACAGGCAGGCTTGTAATAAGAATAGTAAGCAATTGCAAAAGAATGGCATTGGATAGTAGTTATTGTTCAATATCTACCTAGGTAAGTATGGACCAGCACGCCATCAATGAGCAGTCAGAGTAATACTTAGGACGAAAGAATGCTCGATTATTGACCTCCATTAATTTAGTATTGAATTTTGTTTCTTTTTCTTTTTCTTTTTTTTTTTTGTGCCCTTTTTTGGGACTAAAATCATATGTATGCATCGTTTAATGCTTAATAAGAAAAATTTATTTCTGTTGGCTTTATTTAACACTATTCAGTTTAAACGAGTATAGCCTTTCCAGTGGCTGACTGGATTTAAAAAGATATTCTCGCGAAAGAATATTATTTCTAGCGAATTCTCTAGTGAAAAATATATATATATATTCATAACATCGTCTATATATCATTATGCTCTAAAATAATATGCATCGTACCGCATCGTAGACAGTTCTGCAAGTCTGCAGCATATACATGATCTCGTTATGAGGCAGGATGCTGGCAGGAATTTGTCACGGTTTCTTTCTTGATTGTAATATTGCATATTAGTTAGGTGTATACTCTGTATGTGCATGTAATCGGTACTGCATGTCGACCTGACGTTCGTTCACTTCAAACCAGGCGTATCCGCGATCCTGCACCAGTCAGCAATGCTTTCTCCCATCTATTCTGGGATTCTGGGCACCTACCGATACACCAGCTTCTTCGCCGACACCTTCCGGTCAAACAGCTGCTGGATGCCGTTGGCCACGCTCTCCAGCCCGCCCGGCTGCACCTCGAACGGGTGCGGCTTCAGCTTGCCCTCCGCCAACAGCAGGCTCATGTACCGGTAGAACGCGTAGGCAAAGTCGCGGTCCTCCTGCGCCTCCTGCTGCGTGCGGTACTTGTGCGCCGCGCCGTACGCGCTCGCCACAAACGTCCGCGTCATCCGGATGCCTGCCGGCCACTGCCAGTTCTCGCGGTCCGGGTTCGCCGTGTCGTCCGACGGCGGGTCGACCACGTCGATGTAGCTCTCCTCTCCGCCTGACGACGCGGACAGCACCTCCGCGATGTTCGCGTAGCTCCGGTTGTACGACACCGCGTCGAACGCGTACCGCAGCTTCTTCCCGCCCAGCGCCTCCAGGATGTCCTCGACCACCCGGCCCCGGCGGTAGTCGACAATGTGCGTCGCGGCGCCGAGCGAGCGCACAAAGTCGGCGCCAGCACCCGCAACGGTGATGATAGGCGACAGGCCGCTGAGCTTGGCGAACTGCAGCGCATAGGCGCCGACGGCGGACGCGCCGCCGTAGATCAGGATGGGCGTCTCGGTGCGCGCCGGGTTCCAGGGCAGCGGCAGCTTCAGGTTCTGGTACAGGGCCAGGGCGGCGGTCATGGCAGCCAGCGGGATGGTGGCGCCGGCCTCGAAGGAGATGTTGGGCGGCAGGCGGAAGGTCGTGCTGGCCGGGGCGATGGCGTACTGGGCATACGAGCCGTGAGGCGTGAACATGCGGTGGAAGGCGGCCACGCGGTCGCCGGGGGCGAACTCCCACACGTTGCTGCCGACCTTGACGACGGTGCCGGCAATGTCATCGCCCTGGTTGATGCCCTGGCCTTCCTCGTGGTTGCGCGACGCCTTCCAGTCTTTGGGGTTGGAGCCCGTAGCCACGACTTGGATCAGGACTTCATCGGCTTGGGGTTCGCTTATCACAGTATATTAGCATACGAATCTCTCCATGGTTGATACAGGCGCAGCACCTACGGAATGGGCACTTCTCGCCGGGTCGTCTTGATGGACGGCTTGCCGCTGACGGTGTATTCCATCATGGTCGCCATGGTTGATATCGTCAGGACAGGGTATTTCTGACGAATTGAATTTTATTGCACTGTATACTGACGACGAGAAATATGAAGTCAATGTTCGCTTATAAGAATTGTCTCATCACACAAGTCAGTCTTATTCTTCGTCAATACAAATTAATCATCCAGCATGCCCCTCCCCTCCAGATCTAGATAGATCCAGTGCATCAACGGGCCTATCAGAAGCCAGAGCACGACGCGTCCTCGAACGAACGAATCAAGAAGCAGATCACGTATGTGCGGACACGCGCCATGCCGCATTCTGCCTAGACTCCGCTGCGGAAACGTGACCTCCAGGACGGGCATGACGTAATTCATCCCGGACAGTTACCGATAACCCTAAGAAAGACACAGAGAAGCTGATGCTGTTTGTTTATGGCATAGAGTAGATATCTCTAGATCGTAAGGTTCTGGTTAAATACCGTCATACTTCACCTGCCCCAGCTGTCGCTTGATTCAGCTGCGAGAAGCTCCTCAATCACCTCACCCGCAAGCTTCAATTGCGGTCCCAGCGGCGCCCTCTTACTCTCCATCTTCTTCGTCCTCCGCGCCGCCCACTCCCACTCAGCCGCCACATGCGCATTCTCGTTCAGCACCCCCTGCAACATGTACATCAAACTGTAGTCGTTGCGGTCGCCGCGAAGGTCCGGGTACGGTATGCCGAGGCGGGTCTGGATTTCCGACCGCAGACGCCGGAGCACCCGATTGCAGGCCCGGCTGAGGTTGATGTAGTCCAGCTGCATATCGGGGAGGACGTGGTCAAGATACTTTTCCAGTCGGAGCAGGGTCTGTCGCGGAGTGAGTGGTTGCTGAGCCGGCTGGATTCGGGAATTCGACGTTGCTGCTTGTTCTGATGGTCATGCGCAGACATCTGCTCCTCCAGCAGATTCAGCAGCTGCGGCAGAGACAGCTTGGCCTCGAAGAACTGGCGCATGGCCGCCGTGGCAGGCGTTGTGTGGAAATTCCATGGCCTTTTCTTGACAAAATGGCGAAGGTTGCTCGGTGATGCGCCGATTCGGTACGCGAATCGGTCATAGATCGACGTCGCGGTGGTTGGAACGTCATTGGCAAAGAGTGGCCCGGGGTGAAGCGCAATGATCCGCTCGATTTCAGGCCAGTGCTTGTCAAAGCCGCCGAGCTGGCGTAGAGCGTTATACACGTGCGCCACACCGAAGACGGACCAATGGCGGTTTGCCAGGGCAACGCCAGCCTTCTCGGTCATCGAGATCAAATCCAGCAACACCGTTCCGCAGTAGAGCGGGCTGTTGTTGATCAGGAAAGCAGGCTCGTCATTCGGGTAGATGAACTGGACGTTTAGTTTCTCGGCATTCTCATTCTCTTCCGCGCTGGGTGGGGACAAACCATGGGCATCCAGCCACCTGTATATCAGCTCGTCAACTTCGGGCGGTATTTCCTCCTCCCTCTTCTTATGGCTGAGCCCGAGGAGCACTTCTTTGAGTACCATCCAAGGCGGACGAATTAACCAGTATTGGAGTCGGCGGTGAATCTCCATCAAGACGTCCTGATCCTCTGCAGGCCATCGCACCTCTTTCGTGTCAAGAGCACCATTAGAGTCCACTGAGAATGGGAACATATGGTTTATCGCGTCCTGAACCAGCTGCAAACCCGAAGTCGCGGTACCGCAAATGTCATGGATGTCCAGGATGAGTTGAGCGGCGAAGACGCTCTGAACAGTCACCGATCCCGGGTTCCACAGGCATCGCAAGGAACTATGCAAAACGTCATCAAACGGTTGAGCTGCTTTCTTCATGAGCTCTGCGCGCTCGCCACCCATCAGCTTTTCCATCTTGAAGGTGTCAAACTTGACGTGGTCGACCAAGACCAGGTCGTGATATATCTGGACTAGAAATCGGTCCTGTTCCTCGAATTTCTTCATTCGAGGATCGTCAATGAGCTCCGGTGCGACGATATAATCGAATCTCAACGACGGAATAGGAACCGGCCACATAATATTGTTAACATACCCCTTCATTCCCTTAAGATTGAGCAGTGTGCGGCCAACAGGTATAAAGATGAACTCGTCAAATGCTGAAATCGCCAGTGCTTCGGGGTCATCGATACCATGTTCGTTGGCTCTCCCCAGCGCGTCCGAATTGTAGATCTTGTTTACAAGAGCCACGTAGCTAAGATTTTCAGATTCAGGGAAAACCGACAAGAACATCTTGTATACCTCTTCCTCCGCGAGTCGCACGAGTTCAAGGCATACAGCCGTGGATAGAGTGGCATGTATGAGAGTGATTTCCCCCTTCTTTAAATCTTGTCCAGGTCCTAC